GTCGTTGGTGTTCACAGAGAGCCGCGCCGGGGCTTGGGACGTGCTGGCAACGGCTGGCGGCGACACAGTTTGGTTGCGCGCTGCGGCTCCTCCTTGCTGGTGAGCAGCGGCACCCTTCTGGTTGTTGTTCTTGCCGTTCAGCTTCCAGCAGTCTTGAATCATGTGCCCAGTCTTCTTGCAGTACTTGCAGAAGAGTCTTTTCTTGTCCAGTGGCGCTTGAGCGTAAAAGGCAATCTTCTCCTTCTTGTTGCCTCTTTCGCTGTACAGGTCGATTTCCTTCTGCTCGGAGAGAAGCGTGGAGCAGAGGGCAGTCTCACTAAGAGTGCCTTGTGTGCGAAGGAGGGACTTGCACTGGCGCCATTCCGGGCTCAATCCAGCGAGAATGATTGTGACGAACATGTTGTCAGGGAAGTTGCCGCTGCTTTTCCTGAATTGATCTCTTAGGTTCCTGCAGCGTTTGATGTATGGTCCGGCTTTCTCGCCGGGGAACATCTTGACATTGTTCAGCTGGTTGAGCAGGCGACTGAGTGTCACCGAGTCTGTTGCCATGTGGCAGGTGCGCAGGTGTTCCCAGGACTGTTGTGCGGGTGCCCACTCGTTTTTGAAGGGGCGAATGCTCAGCTGTTCTTCGGGCGACAGGTTCCGAATCAACACGGTGAAACCTAGGAGCGACTCGTTGTAGTATTGGGTCTTCTCCTGAGGTGAGCCGTTTGCTGGAAAGGGGTATGATCCGTCGTAGTACATCCAGATCTGAGCGCCCAGAGCGAGTAATTCGAATTCGAAGCTCCACGTGTAGAAGTCTTGTCCGTCGAAGGGTTTGGTTGTCCTTAGTTTCGACGTCGAGAGGAACTTGCTCTGCATTGAAGCCATTCCTCGTAATGTGTTTGTTGCGCTTGAGCAGATCCTTGAGCTCTGCGGTTGTCGAAGGTGAAGGATCGCTCAGATCCAGCCCCTTGAGGATCGGGAGGTCTTCGGGCGTAGCTTGAGCCGTCAATGCTCATTGGCTAGTGGCTCTCCAGTGCGCTGATGCGGGAAATAAGCTGCTCGAGTAGAGCTGTATCCACAGTCGTCGTAGTAGAGGCGACGTTGGTGGAGGGTTGTACTGGATTCTCTCCAGCTTCTCCGCAGTCTGCGCCTAGCATGTTGATGCCCTGTTGATGTCGTTGATGTTTGAAGCTTAAGTTATAAAGAAGCTTGTTGGAAGCCCCTTTTAGCAGTTCCTATCATCCAAACTAGCTCTCATACCATGTTAGAGTGAGGACCTTGGATAGAATAGGAGGTGCTTTGGTAGAGTTTGGTAGCGGAAGACTTGTAAGAACTCAAATCATAGTGAATATAAATGACCAAGTTGATTAAAAGATAAAATACAAGGAATATAAATAGTCCTAGTCTAGCCATGTACTCTAAGGGGTACATTCCCGTATTATAACTGTTTTACATGCATTTCTACAGTGACTCTGACTGTTGTACTGCCTTTCTTGTTACCGAGTCGCTGCATGTAACCTGTACGATTACGCCTGTTGCCATTCCTTGATGGTAAGTCAAGCGTCGGTCCAGATGGTCAACAGTCGCGACAGTTGACTCTTGCAACTATTGACCTTCCTGCCCTTGTTACGGGCTGATCTGATATTGCAGTAGTTTCTGCTTCGACAGAGTCAGGTGCGATACTGTTGCACCTACGGGAATGCTAAGTATAATTCCCTTCACACTCCAACAACATCGATGTTCAATTCTCGATCCTGAGCAATCAGAGTTAACTACTTTTCAACACTGAGCAATCAGAGTAGCCTACGTGTGGAAAATATGCACCCATAATAGAGGGGGGTATTTTTCCCCGGAATCAGGGAGGCTTAAAATGAAACGTCAGCCCTACAATCCTCATTCATTCATTTCTTCGAATGCATTTGTTCTTCTTGACATTCATGATTGCTGCGATCAGAAGTTGATCGAACTCAGGATCACCACCACAAAGAAGGTGCACCACCAAACAAAGTTTATAATAACTACACTAACCACAGCTACAGGCAGTTACAGATATATTCTGACACCAGGGCGCCAAAACAGGCGGCAGAAGGGGCGACGCTCGCCCCCCTCCCCAGGTCGCCCCTCCCGTCTCCAGTCGAGGCGACCTGAGGGGGCCGCGCGGGGGGGGAGGTGCACGGACCCCCGGTGCGCCGCGACAGGCGACGGAGCATGGCCGGGGCGAGGCCGGGGCAGGGTCGAGGCAGGGCCGAAAGTGGCGGCGACGGGGCCGCTGGAGGCGGCGACGGGGCCGATAGGGGCGGCGACGGGGTCGCTAGGGGCGGCGACGGGGCCGCTGGTGGCAGCGACGGGGCCGATAGGGGCGGCGACGGGGCCGCGAAGGGGCCGCGAGGGGCCTGGAAGGGCGGCGACAGGCCGCTAGGGGCGGCGACGGGGCCGCGAAGGGGCCGCGAGGGGCCTGAAAGGTCGGCGACGGGGCCGCTAGGGGCGGCGACGGGGCCGCGAAGGGGCCGGGAGGGGCTTGGAAGGGCGGCAACGGGGCCGCTAGGGGCGGCGACGGGGCCGCGAAGGGGCCTCGAGGGGCCGAGAAGGGCGGCGACGGGAACGCTAAGGGCGGCGCGAGGGGCCGTGAGAGGGGCCTCTAGGAGGGGAAGAAAAAAGTCCGTCGCACGCCACGGGGCGTGCAACACACAGAGTAGCAGCGGAAGCAGTTAGGTGGGCCCACAGGCCAGGAGCGTAAATGAGGAATGAAGAAGAGAGGGGTTGCACTAGCAGCAGTTGGCATACATATAGGAAACCCTAATTGGGTTGTACTCGCTATAGAGTACCCCACTGCAGGCTAGACAATTATTACATTCTGACATACAGAGGAATTTCAATCGTTATAGCTAGCCATGTACTCTAAGGAATACATTCCCTTATTACAACGAAATCCAACCGTGCGACTCCAGGTCGTTATGAAACTGTTCGAGCAGAATCCTCGCCACTGCTGCTGCCTGATGCTGTCTGCCCAACGGTCCATATGTTTTCGTAACCGTACGACCCTTCGTGCTACTTCCGCCCGTTTGACTTCAACCTCGGTAGTGTGTGTTTCGCTTGCTATGGTGAGGAGTGCTTGTGATTGTGGTAAATGGATGCAAATGGCGAGAGAAAATCATGGTGGGAAAAAAGGAAGGCATGGAATATTAGGAGATCATTCCCCCCTAGCGCCAAGGATTGGAAAAGTGGGGCGTAGCCTGTAGAGTCGACTCGGATCGTAAAAGTTGATGAAATGGGGCATAAAATTAGGCGGAGAGCAGTGTGAATGGTAATTATTTGATGAAAAACAGTGAGTGGTGACAGGACCAAAGGACATGAACAGAAATTTATGTTTGGATGATGCGAAGCAATGATAAGAAGGGTTCTTAGAATAGAGCAGAGAAACGAGCAACTAAACATCCTAGCTAAAAGATAAGAGGATGCGTTGGAAACGAGGATTTACGCCTACTACAATGTCATCCAAATTTCCTCCCACGTGGCACACGAGGTGTCGGGTTGAGGGAAGGGATTCGCTGATTCTCGAGAGCTTGTTCGTCTTCACACCAATCGAAATGGAGCTGTGTTCTCCCACTGTACCATGTGGCTTTGGTGGAGTGGAGGCAGGCACACAAAGCTACATCCCAAAACAGTTTCTGGAGTACCCGAACATACGGGCAAGCGACACAAAATTTCACAATTTTGTAAGACAGGTCGGCTTTTAGGGATCGACGAGACTGCCAGCAACGCAAAGTGGACAGGGGAAAGAGTTGGGACCCAACGGCAACGGCAACCACAAGGAGAGGATCTGGAGTAGCTTGGTTTCGTGTCTGAAATTGACTCCTTGCAAATCAGCTGTTTGTTTTTGGCGAACTCGTACTGATAGCCATTTTGATCAATGAAGGAGGCAGTTCACATGGACTCGGAAAGAGTCAGCTCCAGAGCTCAGCTTGGAACAACCACTACCTCCACGCTCCAGTCATGGCTACCCGCCGCAACCCGTCCTTCCGCCGCACCTCTACCCCTCGCGCCTGCTAGAAGCGCCTCGCAGCTACGCCCTACATTTTGTTCTGTGTGCGTCCACTCCACTCCACACCACGCAAGTTAGGGTTTGCCAGGCGTGAACAGAGCACGCGACACATGCCGCTCCTCGTTTGATAGAATTATTCAATAGCTGTTCGCCGAAATCCAACGAGGCGTGCAGGTGAAAATCCTCTTGAGAGTTCGGAGAGTGAGTTTGAAGTGGTTGCGGTTACGAATGTCAGGAAACAAGTCGGTCTTTCCATTTAGTCTCGATCAATTGCCCGATAGCGAAATCGGGAATTATGTTGCACTCATGTATCGGCGATTCCTCTTCGTTGTTTAGAGTACAAGGGTAACCCGTGTTACTAGCTACTAGTGCTCGACGTATCGCAAGTATACAAGGAGGAAATACGTTTTTGGCGACTATAAACCCAGCACGTCCTTCTGCATACACAAACCAAAAGCCATTGGGGGCATCAATGCGTCCCGAGGCGCGTCTCGAAGCACGAGTATTCTGATCTCGTAATTGGCTTAGAAACGGGCCGTGCCATAGTCGCGTCTCTATTAACCGATACGCAGGACCTGCGCATAGCATCCGCAGTAGTAGCATCCTCATTAGGAATAGCAGCATTTATGGCTGTCAGCATATACTGACTCTACTGCCGGGCCGCCCTTCATGGTACTACACGAGACCCTAAGGCGACATATTCGCCACACACCCGAGCTGTTGTGACGAAGTGTAAGTAGCAGCGGTAGCAGGGGTAGCAGTGGAAGCAGCAGAAGCAGCAGAACAACAGAAGTAGTACCATCGACGCTCAACTCTTTCTGAAGCCCGTTCTATCCCAACGCGCCATGCTCCCATGACCAAGAGCTGTCGGATCTACCTTCCGATGCTTCCCAATCGTTGATCCGTGTATTTGACACTGCTCCTGGTTCCGTTACCCGTTTCGCACGCGCTTTACCATCGCGTTCGCCACGTCATGGCGACGGTGACGACAGTCGTGTACAACGGCACGAGTTACAATGTTACCAACATGACGCTCTCGGAGGTGCAGGCGCGCGTGGCGGCGCTGAACTCGTCGGTGCAGAGCATGCAGACGGAGGTGGAAAACGCCGTCATGCTCACCGCCGAGATCTGGCGCACCACGGCCGGCGTCTTCGTCTTCCTCATGCAGGTGCGGTTTAGAGGTCTCTGATGCGGTGGGGGGATAGCAGGGACGGAGGCGATTAGAAACAAGTGTGGTGGGGCGTGCAGAGCATGCAGGTGGAGGTGCAGAACGCTGTCATGCTCACTGCTGAGATCGCACCACAGCCAGCGTCTTCGTCTTCCTCATGCAGGTACAATGCGGTGCGGTGCGGGGAGAGAGGTCTCTGGTGCGGTGAGGAGGATCACGGGAGAAAATTGCAATCTGCAAATATGGTGTGCAGGGGCGAGCGTGGGCTAGGGTGGGCTAGGGTGGGCTAGGGTGGGCTAGGGTGGGCTAGGGTGGGCTTGGGTGGGCTCGGGTGGGCTAGGAGGTACGCGTTCCTTCTCTCCGCCTCCCACCCACCCCTCTCTCCGCCTCCCACCCCTCTCTCCGCCTCCCACCCACCCCTCTCTCCGCCTCCCACCCACCCCTCTCTCCGCCTCCCACCCCTCTCTCCGCCTCCCACCCACCCCTCTCTCCGCCTCCCATCCACCCCTCTCTCCGCCTCCCACCCCTCTCTCCGCCTCCCACCCCTCTCTCCGCCTCCCACCCCTCTCTCCGCCTCCCACCCCTCTCTCCGCCTCCCACCCCTCTCTCCGCCTCCCACCCCTCTCTCCGCCTCCCACCCCTCTCTCCGCCTCCCACCCCTCATTCCGCCTCCCACCCCTCTCTCCGCCTCCCACCCCTCTCTCCGCCTCCCACCCCCCTCTCCTCCTCCCACCCCCCTCTCCTCCTCCCACCCCTCACTCCGCCTCCCACCCACCCCTCTCTCCGCCTCCCATCCCTGCAGCTGGGCTTCTCCTTGCTAGAAGCGGGCACGGTGCGGTTCAAGAACACGCGCAACATCATGATCAAGAACGTGCTGGACACGTGTGTCAGCGCCATTGCCTTCTGGCTGCTGGGCTACGGCATCGGCTTCGGCGAGGGCTCCAAAGTGTTCGGGTGGAAGTATGACGATGGCTCGGTACGCATGGGTGCTGATGGGTGGGAATGGTAATGCATTGGCTTCTATGATACTAGAGATGCCTAAGGCTACGGGGAGGGCTCCAAGGTGTTTGGGTGGAAGTACGACGACGGCTTGGTACGGATGGGTGGTGATGGGTGGGTGGTGAATGTTGATGGGTAGCTGGTGATGGGTGGGCTTTGGGAAGGGCTCCAGGGTGCTGGACACGTGTGTGAGCGCTATTGCCTTCTGGCTGCTGGGCTACGGCATCGGCTTTGGCGAGGGCTCCAAGGTGTTTGGCTGGAAGTATGACGACGGCTCGGTACGGATGGGTGGAGATGGGTGGGTGGGTGCTGATGGGTGGGCTTTGGGGAGGGCTCCAAGGTGTTTGGGTGGAAGTACGACGGCGGCTCGGTACGAATGGGTGGAGATGGGTGGGTGCGGGTGGGAGTGTGGTATGGATCGGTGAGATGCGGTATGCCTGTACCCGTTGGGGAAAGAAGCGAAGCCCACTCTGTTGTGTACCTGTAAAGGAGATGAAATGTCAACTTCAGTGTGTTCGTATCAATCCCATTCCAGTTCGACAATTCCCTCCCTCCCTCCTTACTCTCTCCCTCCTCTTACCTCTCCTTTCTCACTCTCCCACTCCCGCTCCTCCCCCCTACACTTCCTCCTCCTCCCACACCCGCCGTCCAGATTGCATATGCGAGTGGGCAGAATGGAGTTGATTGGTTCTTCCAGTTCACCTTCTGTGCCACATCAGCAACAATCATTGCAGGGGCTGTGGCGGAGAGAACGCACCTATGGGCCTACCTCACATTCAAGTAATAACCCCGTTGCCTCGTCACGTGTTTCGTTATAGGCTGTGTGCCTCGGTTCAGGGCCAGGCTTTGAGGTTTGAAAGTGTGCGCCTTATAAAAGGCATGTGCGTCAGTCATTGTAAGTTGTGCGCTTCACTATAAGCTGCATTCTCTGTCCGTGTGATGTGCACGGAGCACCTTTGCAGCCCGTGTTCCTCGTTTCCAGCTTTGAATCCCGTTATATGCTGCCTCTCTTGTTGTAAGAGGTGTTTTATACTCTTACAAGCTATCTCCTTGTCTTGCTCATCCGTTTCCCCCTCTCAAAGCTCATCCAAGCCATAGCAGCATACATGACGACCCCACCCCATCGCCCTTCCCTCCCCCACCCCACCTCACACATCTCCCCTCCCTTCCCCAGCTTCTTCCTGTCTGCGCTCATCTACCCCGTCATAGCGCACATGATCGAGTCGCAGGGGGGGCTGCTGACTTCCCCCACCCCCTCACCTCCCATTCCGTTCTGTCCCCTCCTCTCCCTTCCCCTTTCGATTCCCCAGCTTCTTCCTGTCTGCGCTCATCTACCCCGTCATAGCGCACATGATCTGGTCGCAAGGGGGGCTGCTGGCGGCCAGTCAGACCAACACAGTGCTCAACACCATAGGCGTGCTGGACAATGCGGGGTCCATGGTGGTGCATGTCACTGGTGAGAGCAGTTGTGGTTGTTATGGCAGTGGGTGAGAGAGGGGAAAGACAGACCAGCGGTTAATCCATTTGACAGGGGCAATGGAGAGCAGCACTGTGCTGAGCACCATTGTCACAATCGTGCACCTTCTCTCTTTCCTCCCTCTCTCTTATCTCTCGCTTCCTCTCCCCCCCTCCCATTCTCGTCCCCCTTGTATCCCCCCTCCATCTCCTCCTCGTCTCTGCATGTGCTCACTGGCACCTGCTCGTTGTACAGGTGGCGTCACGTCATTGGTGGGGGCGATTCTAGTGGGCCCTCGCATTGGTCGGTTTGACATTGACGGCAAAGTGGTGCCCTTCAAGTGCCACTCCGTGGTATGTCCCCTCTTTCCCTGTCGCCACTCCATCGTACGTACATAATACATCTGCCCTTCCTTCCGTTTTTAGACCCCTCCCTCTTTTCCGCCCCCTCTTGTTCTTTGTCACTTTCTAGGATGTCTAACGCTTTCGTACTCCCTCCCTCCCCTCCTCCCCCGGGCCCAATCGTTTTTCCCTCTCTCTCCCCTTCCCCCCTCCTCTCCCACCTGCGGCCTGCCCTATCCTTCCCCCAGTTGTTCATAAAATCACAGGCACCATCATCCTCTGGGTGGGATGCTACGGCTTTAATGGCACATCTCTTCCCCCATTTCCCTCACTTACCCATTCCCATACTCCCTCACGCCCCTCACTCTTTACCTCTTTCCCCCTATCCACCAAACCCCCCTCTCTCCAGGTGTTCATAGCAGCGGGCACCATCATCCTGTGGGTGGGCTTCTACGGCTTCAACGGGGGCTCGGTGTCGCTGGTGGGGCAGCCGCCGCTGCAGTGGGTGCAGGAGGTGGCGCGCGTGTGCGTCAACACCACCATCAGCGCCTCCTTCAGCGGCGTCACCGTGTGGACGCTCACGTACCGGCGCAGGGAGCCGGTGCCAGAGGACACGTTCAATGGGGTGATCGGCGGGCTGGTGGCGGCGTGTGCCACCAGCAGTGTGGTGGAGCCGTATGCTGCTGCCATCATTGGGGTTGTCGCTGGCTTGATGTATCTTCTCGGCTGCTGGCTCATGTTCCGGTGCGTGCGAGGGGGGGTAGGAGGGTGTATGTGTGAATCCGATCCGACTACAGCAGCAGCAGGCTGTGGCACTGTGTGTAGTGTGAGTGAGTGTGTGGAGTGGAGAGGGGTGGCGGGGTTGGGCGTGTGACACCAGCAGTGTGCCACGAGCAGCGAGGTGGAGCCGTATGCCGCTGCCAGCATTGGGGTGGTGGCGGGGCTCATGTGTCTTCTCGGCTGCTGACTCATGTTCCGGTGGGTGCGAGGGGGTGTGGCACTGTGTGTAGTGTCGGTATGTGGAGTGGAGGGGCTGGTGGCGGCGTGTGCAACGAGCAGTGTGGTGGAGCCGTACGTTTGCTGCGATTATTGGGGTGGTGGCGGGGCTCATGTACCTAACCCCCTTCTCCTCCCGCTCGTGTAATGCGCACAACCGCACACGACCACCAGGTACCAAATAGACGACCCAGTACAAGCAGCGCCAACGCATCTGTTCTGTGGATCGTGGGGCGGCGTGGCAGCGGGCCTCTTCGCCACCAAGGATGGCATCACCGCCACCTACGGCGTTGTCCCGCCCTCTTGGGGGCTGTTTTACGGGGGAGGAGGCTGGCAGCTGCTGGTGCAGGTGGGTTGTGTCACCGTCACGTGTGGCCTGCCATGTGAGTGTTGAATGCTGTATGACGGGTAGGGCAGTACCAGGGGATAAGGGGTCGCCCCGCCAAGGATGGCATCACCGCCACCAAGGATGGCATCACCGCCACCAAGGATGGCATCACCGCCACCAAGGATGGCATCACCGCCACCTACGGCATCGTGCCACCCTCCTGGGGGCTTTTCTATGGGCGACTTTTGAGACGTCTCAAAAGCTCTTCTATGGGGGATGAGGCTGGCGGTTGTTTATGCAGGTGGGTCGTGTCGTACGTGTGGTGTGTGTTGATAGGTCTGTCAACCAGGGAGCGCATTCCTTGACCACACTCCACCTACGGCATCGTCCCGCCCTCCTGGGGGCTCTTCTATGGGGGAGGAGGCTGGCAGCTGCTGGTTCAGTCGGGTCGTGTGGTGTGGTGTGGCATGTGTTGTTTTGACACATGCAGACCCTAGCGCTGCTGCTGGTGTATGTGTGGGTGGGATGGGAGTGACCGCTATGTTCGCTTGCTACTTTTCTCCGCCCGCTCCCCTTTTCTTTACCTCTCTGCTTTCACATCCCAGCTCTGTTGCTGGTGTACGTGTGTTTGGGCAGGACCGTCTTCTTTCTGCTCTTTGTGTTCCTTCTTCCCCATCTTCTCTGCTCCTCCGCTCCACATTCCATTTTCAACCACTCCCCCCTCCTCTTCTAGATCCTAGCGCTGCTGCTGGTGTACGCGTGGGTGGGCATCACAACATACGTGCTCTTTGTGTTTTTGGGCGCCTTCGGTGTGCTGCGTGTCAAGCGGCAGGAGGAGGAGGTGAGACGGTGCCACTGATTCTCCTTAGGTGGGTGAGTGGGCGGGCGGGCGGGGCGGGCGGGGCGGGCGGGGCGGCCGGGGCGGCCGGGCGAATAGGCGGGCGGGCGGGTGGGCGGGTGGGTGCATGGGTGGGAGGGTGGGTGGGTGGGTGGGTGGGTATCACAACAGACGAGCTCTTTGTGTTTCTGGGCGTGTTTGGTGTGCTGCGAGTCGAGCGGCAGGAGGAGGAGGTGAGTGCGTGAGAGGGAGGGGGACGAGGGAGGTGAGAGGGAGGGGGACGAGGGAGGAGGTGAGAGTAGGAAAGAGGCAAGTGAGAGGGAGAAGGAAGAGGTGAGATTGCGACGGACTCTCCGTAGGTGGGTGGGCGACGGGCGTGCCAACGTACATTGTGACGGGCGTGCCAATGTACATTGTGACGGGCGTGCCAATGTACATTATGACGGGCGTGCCAATGTACATTGTGAAGGGCGTGCCAACGTACATTGTAACGGGCGTGCCAATGTGCATTGTGACGGGCGTGCCAACGTACATTGTGACGGGCGTGCCAACGTACATTGTGACGGGCGTGCCAACGTACATTGTGACGGGCGTGCCAATGTACATTGTGACGGGCGTGCCAATGTACATTGTGACGGGCGTGCCAATGTACATTGTGACGGGCGTGCCAACGTACATTGTGAAGGGCGTGCCAACGTACATTGTGACGGGCGTGCCAACGTACATTGTGACGGGCGTGCCAATGTACATTGTGACGGGCGTGCCAATGTACATTGTGACGGGCGTGCCAATGTACATTGTGACGGGCGTGCCAATGTACATTGTGACGGGCGTGCCAATGTACATTGTGACGGGCGTGCCAACGTACATTGTGACGGGCGTGCCAACGTACATTGTGAAGGGCGTGCCAACGTACATTGTGACGGGCGTGCCAATGTACATTGTGAAGGGCGTGCCAACGTACATTGTGACGGGCGTGCCAATGTGCATTGTGACGGGCGTGCCAATGTACATTGTGACGGGCGTGCCAACGTACATTGTGACGGGCGTGCCAACGTACATTGTGACGGGCGTGCCAATGTACATTGTGACGGGCGTGCCAATGTACATTGTGACGGGCGTGCCAATGTACATTGTGCGCTTTGTGTTTCTGGGCGCCCTGGTGTGTGCGTTTATCTACCTGCCCCCCTCTCCCAACCCAACACTCCCACCCTCACCCGCCCTCTCCACTCCCATCCCTTTTCCTCTCCCCAGGTCGGCCTGGACGTGCCCTTCCACGGGGGCGAGGACGACGGCGAGGAGTTTGACATGGGGGACAGCCAGTACAGCACGAGTGGTAACCACTGCATGCATCTACCCCGCCCCCCGTCCCCCACCCCCCTCCTCACGCCCCGCGCTCCATCTGTAGGTCGGCCTGGACGTGCCCTTCCATGGCAGGGAGGACGACGGCCAGGAGTTTGACATGGGGGACAGGACGGCGGCCAGGAGTTTGACATGGGGGACAGGACAGCCAGTACGGCAGGCGATGCTTCCTCTCAGGCCCTGTTCAGATGCTCCCTTCTTGTTGTTCAATCCCCATTCCGGCATCCCCTCCCGCGCTCCATCTGCAGGTTGGTTTGGATGTGGCCTTCCATGGGGGCGAGGGCAAGGGGGAGGGAGGAGTTGGGCATGAAGGATAGCCAGCCAGGACCTCCTCATGACGCCAGCCAGGACCTCCTCATGACGCCAGCCAGGACCTCCTCATGACGCCAGCCAGGACCTCCTCATGACGCCAGCCAGGACCTCCTCATGACGCCAGCCAGGACCTCCTCATGACGCCAGCCAGGACCTCCTCATGACGCCAGCCAGGACCTCCTCATGACGCCAGCCAGGACCTCCTCATGACGCCAGCCAGGACCTCCTCATGACGCCAGCCAGGACCTCCTCATGACGCCAGCCAGGACCTCCTCATGACGCCAGCCAGGACCTCCTCATGACGCCAGCCAGGACCTCCTCATGACGCCAGCCAGGACCTCCTCATGACGCCAGCCAGGACCTCCTCATGACGCCAGCCAGGACCTCCTCATGACGCCAGCCAGTACGGCACGAGTGTGAACTGACCTCTGCTGCGTGCCTTTATGTTCTCCTTCCTCACCATCCCCCACCCCAGGTCGGGCTGGATGTGGCCTTCCACAGCGGCGAGGACGAGGGCGAGGAGTTCGACATGGAGGACAGCCAGTACGGCGGGCGGTGCTTCCTGTCCGGGCGGTCGATGCACCACCGCATGCCGAGCGTGTTGGAGACCATCGTGCGCATGCTCAACCCCAAGCGCTGGCCTTCTGATCTGATCTGAGGACTGGGCGTCAAAACGCGTCTCTCAACCCGCTCAACCCCAAGCGCAGCTGCGGGCGCCCAGACAGAGCAGCAGGCGGGGAGCGGCTGGGGACACTCAAGTTCCCAACACCGTTTCAAACGCTTTTCTCTCTCTGTTCACTCCCTGTCATGGCGTCCCATCCCCCCACCCCGCTCGTAGGTGGGTCTAGACGTGGCCTTCCATGGGGGCGAGGACGAGGGCGAGGAGTTCGACATGGAGGACAGCCAGTACGGCGGGCGGCGCTTCCTCACAGGCCGCTCCATGCACCACCGCATGCCGGGCGTGCTGGAGACCATCGTGCGCATGCTCAACCCCAAGCGCTGGGGCCGCCCGGGCGGGCCGGCGGAGGCGTTTGGGCAGAAGAGGGACGTGTGGCACCGCGCGCTGGATAACACTCCGTACGGGCAGTTCTCGCTGGCGATGTACGAGGCGAACTATGTGATGGAGGACACGGCTGAGGTGGAGGGCAGCAGTAGTGGCGTGTATATCGGCGTGCATGATGGGCATGGCGGGACTGAAACGTCGGAGTTCCTCAAGGAGAATCTCTACTTTAACCTCAAAGGTGCGGAGGACTGAGTGTCCCTTGAGTCTCCTTGTCCCGCTTCTGTGACTCCTGTGGACATGTGCCTTGTGTTGCCTCTCTCCTGCAATCACCATGCATGCATCAGAAGGAGCAGGCCGCCGGTGTGAGCTAGAGGCGCCTCAAGAACACCCTGTTTCTTGTCGGGAAAGTCTGGCTTCTGTGTCCCTGTGTGTTCTGTGGCTGTGCAGCGCAATTCATGCACCAGGGCGGGCAGGTGTCAGCAGAAGCAGTGCGAGGAGCCTTCCACGAAACCGAGACTGCTTTCACCCAGGTACCGCCCGCTTGTCACACCCTGGTACTGCCTTAAACACCCAGGTACCACTTGTCACACCCCGGTACTGCCTTAAACACCCAGGTACCGCTTATCACACCCCGGTACTGCCTTAAACACCCAGGTACCGCTTGTCACACCCCGGTACCACCTTTCACACCCCGGTACCACCAAACACACCCAGGTATCGCTGTTCACACCTCGAAATCACGTGTTGTGCCTTGGATTGTGCTCTTGAACAGCCGACGGCCTCCCTTGCGCTTTATCTCAACCACGCCCCCTCACGCACCTCATCCTCATTTTCCTCTGTCACCTCTTCCCTTCCCGTTTTCGCTCTCGCGTATCGTTTTCCACCCACTCTCACCTCCCACCTCCTTCCTTAAAGTGAAAAAACGATTCACCCATCTGCACCCCTCACCCACCTCTGTGCACTCCTCTGCACCTGCGCCCTGCAGGTGGTGTGACAGTCGTTTGAGGCGGGCCCCCACCTGGCAACGGTGGGGTCATGCAGTGTGGGGGCGGTGGTGACTGGGAATGCCCCGTCTATCAGACTTTCCCAAAGAAAATGAAACATTCATGCACCGCTCTGTATCCATCTGCACCTCTCACAACCTTTGCAACCCTATTCATCTGCAGGTGGTGCGGCAGTCGTTTGAAGCAAGCCCCCATCTGGCGACGGTGGGATCGTGCAGTGTGGTGGCGGTGGTGACAGGGAATGCCCTCTGGGTGGCCAACGTGGGCGACTGCAGAGCCGTGCTGGGGCAGGTGAGGTGTGAGGAGGTGGGATGTGGGGCAGGTGGGATGTGGGGAGGTGGGATGTGGGGAGGTGGGATGTGAGGAGGTGGGATGTGAGGAGGTGGGATGTGGGGAGGTGGGATGTGAGGAGGTGGGATGTGGGGAGGTGGGATGTGGGGAGGTGGGATGTGAGGAGGTGGGATGTGAGGAGGAGGGATGTGGGGAGGTGGGATGTGAGGAGGTGGGATGTGGGGAGGTGGGATGTGGGGAGGTGGGATGTGGGGCATGTGAAATTTGGGGCAGGTGGAATCTGGAAGGTGAAAACAACAGCAGCTCTAGTTTTTTGGAGCAAGTTCAAACATGTAGGAAAAACGGTGTCCTATCAAGAACGAGGTGTGAGTAGAAACGGCGGAACTCTTTTTGCACGCTTCACCCCAATCTGCCCCCTCCCCTTCCTCAAAGCTCTTCTTTCACCCCGTGCCTCCCCCTCCCTCCCTCCTCCGCCTCCCTCCAGGTGCGCAAGGGAGACGACAACTCACTGGAGTGTCGGGCCCTACAGCTGTCGGTGGATCACAACCTTTCCTTCGCTTCCATCCGAGAGAAGTTCATCGAGGAGCATGCCGACATGCCGGATGCTGTGGTGGAGAAGCGCGGAGGGTTCCGTGTGAAGGGCAAAGTGACGGTGAGTGAGGGTTGGAGAAATTAACGGTGAGTCAAGGTGGGAGAAAGTAACGGTGAGTGCTACTAAGGATGAACATTTGTGTGAGCAGTGTTCATCGAGGAGCATGCTGACATGCCAGATGCTGACATGCCAGATGCTGTTGTGGAGAAGAGAGGGGGTTCCGTGTGAAGGGCAGAGTGACGGTGAGTGGAGGGCAAAGTGATGGTGAGTTGAAGGAAAAGTGACGGTGAGTGGAGGGCAAAGTGACGGTGAGTTGAAGGAAAAGTGACGGTGAGTTGAAGGCAAAGTGAGTGAAGGTGAGTGCAAAGAAGTGGGACAAGAATGTCCAACAAGACGCCGCTGTTCTGCCTGTCACAAGTGCAAGCCCGAGCCATCCACCTTCCTTTAACTCTCTCTCCCTCCCCCCTCGCTCTTTCTCTCCCCATTCTCCCCTCCAGGTCACCCGGTCATTCGGCGACCTCTATCTAAAGTCCCACGAGTTCAACCGCGAGCCGCTCTTCTCGCGCTTCCGAGTGCCGGAGCCCTTCCACCCACCGCTGCTGTCCTGCGAGCCCAACATAGCGGTGCGCCTGCTGTCGCCGCACGACTCCTTCGTCATCCTCGCCTCTGACGGACTCTTTGAGTTCATCAGCAACCAGGAGGCTGTGGATATTGTTGCCAGCAGCCCCAGGAAGGTGAGGTCCAGTGCGGTGCAGATGGGCTGTCCAGTTATCCTCGCCTCTGATGGGTTGTCTTGTCATCCCCGCCTGTGACGGCCTCTGTGAGTTCACCACGAACCAAGAGGCTCATGTTGTGGTGCACCACGAACCAAGAGGCTGTGGATATTGTTGCCAGCACCGCCCGGAAGGTGAGCTGCTCGTAGTAGCCGCTGCTGTGGTCGAGTGCGGTGCAGAGCGGTGTAGATGGGCTGAAATCGCGCCTGCTCTCGCTCCAGCGCTCCATCGTCACCCCTGCTTGTGGCCCTGCTCCCCCTGCTCCCCCCTCTCCCCCCTCTCCCCCCTCTTCCCACCCCCCCTCTCTCCCCTCATGACCTTTCTTCCGCCCCGCCGTTCCCTCCCCCCTCCTCTCTCCGCACTGCACGCTCCTCCCCCCTTTCAGGACATAGCCCGGCAGCTGATTCGGGCGGCGCTGCGGCGGGCGGCGGAGAGGCGGGAGATCCGGTACCAGGATCTGCTGCGCATGGCGAGTGGGCAGCGGCGGGAGTACCACGATGACATCACGGTGGTGGTGTTCTTCTTTAACCACGAGGCGCGGACCAAACATGCTGCAAAGAGCAACATGACCTGGAACCACGTGAGTGAGAGGGGAAGGGAAGTGAGGGAAGGAGGGGAAGATGGGGGGCAGCGGCGGGAGTACCACGATGACATCACAGTGGTGGTGTTCTTCTTTAACCATGAGGCACGCACCAAACACAACAAGAGCAACCTCACATGGAACTATGTAAGAGAGGGGTTGAGCAAGCTGTTTCATGGTTGGATTTGTGTTCGTGGAAGGTGGGGTTGAGGGAAGCAGGGAGGAAGGGGAGAGGGAGGACGGGATAGAAGGAGGGGGGTGGGATGGGAGCAGGAAGGGAGAGGGGAAGGGGAGGGAGGGTGGGTGAGGGGAGGGAGGGGAGGGAAGGGAGGTGAGGGGAGGGAGGGGAGGGAGGGGAGGTGAGGAGAGGGAGGAGGGAAGGGAAGGGAGTGGCAGCAGAGGGAGTACCACGACGACATCACGGTGGTGGTGTTCTTCTTCAACCACGAGGCGCGCACCAAACACAACAAGAGCAACCTCACATGGAACCCCCGAAGAGGGAGGGGGAAAGGGAAGCAAGGAGGGGAAGAGGGAGGGCAGTGGCAGTGGGAGCAGCAGGGCACGGCGACATCACAGTAGTGTGGTGGTGTTTCTCATGAGCCAGGAGGCCAGGACCGACCAAGCATGCCAAGAGCAACCTCACGTGGAACCATGTATGTGTGTGTGTGTGTGTGCGTGTGTGTGTGTGTGTGTGCGTGAGTGCGCATGTGTGGCGGGTGCGTGTGGGTGTGGGTGTGTGAGCGTGCATGTTGCACATGTGCCTGCAGGACATCTCCTTCAAGGCCGGCAAGGGTGCCAGCCTCTGCTGCCCCTCATGTGCATCCCCATACCATCCCTCATCTCCTCTGCATGTGACGACCTGCCCTCCCTGCCTGCTGCACCCCTACCCGCAGGACATCTCCTTCAAGGGTGGCAAGGATGCTCGACTCGCCCTCAACGCCGCTGCAGCAGCTGATCTCACCTCGCCCTCAAAACAAGGAGCCAATGACGCACGAGCAGGCCTTTCCTCCGCGTCAGGCTCCCTCAACCGAACCACCTCGTCCGTGCCTGAGGATGGGGTGCTTGAAATGGAGCTTCCAGCTCCGGCCCGAACCAACAGCCGAACCTTCTTAACATGGTCTCAGTGAGGCTGGCTTTGGGCAGGTTGGGGTGGATCATGGTGGACGATGGCAATGCCTTGATACTTTCCATGGAGAGATATTGATAGGCTACCGTAAGCCCCCGGATAGAAGCGCAGGCCTCGGATAAGCGCCGGCGCTTATAAAAGGATGAGGGCGCTTATATCCAGTCCTCGATTATAAGCGCACCCCTGAAGGCTTACGGATTATAAGCACCACCCTTTTTTTCTAACTATAATTTTACTGAATTCGTTGTAACGAAACTCAACATCTCCATTCCCACATTTTGAATTTCGATGCCCTTCACCCTCGCTCGGCTTACTGCCAGCGCGTCCAGTCAGAATGAGCTGTCAGGGGCGCACGTTGACTCATTCTGACTGTGTGTTGGCAGGGAATCAATCCCTGCCAGCTTGCACGCGAGATTTTCAATCGCGACCCTGTATAATTTCGACTCGATTCAATTCGCAATAACGGGATCTACAGTTTGGTGTAAAAACGAGGAATTTCATATATGCTATTATATAAGCACCGGCGCTTATAAAAATCCTCGATTATAAGCCCACTCCCTAAAAAAACGTGTTTTTTTTATAACCCCAGGGGCGCCTCTATCCGGGGGCTGACGGTAAATTCTTTGTTGGTTGTATAAATAAAGCTCTCGTGGAGTGCTTGGATGCAGCTATTGGCGCTTTGGGGGTATGACATAAGGCACTCGCAGTGCCTTGAGAAGCTTATTTGTCGGTAGGTGAAGTGAGTATTGCGAAGAGTTAAAACCAGCCGCTATATACTAGTGTGTATTGTTGTGTGAATATTGCCACGCACACGTACATTTTGAATACTACGTTTATGTAACTACGTATCGGATTTAAACCATGTAAAATCTTATGTCCAGTGCTATATTTGGCGAAGTGTAACATCACCTTTTCTCTGTTTGACTGATGGCGGCTCGTCAGTTTCTAAAACCAGAAATGTGCGCCTCGTCAGTAGCACGTCACATGGCATCAGTGGGAGGGAGCTGAATTCAAAAACTTCAGTTGCCCGAACCCGCTTTGCAAGTAGCAACAGTTTGAGTACAGTGCAGTGATGGTTAGGTTTCCTGACGACGACTGAACGTGGGTGTCATTTTATTCCCGCGGGTAACCCACACCTATCCACTCCACTTTACAGTACCAGCCTAAGGACGTGCTACGATTGCGACATCGAGGAGGATCGTGGTCACACACTTAAGCTGCAAAATCGATCTCCTCTGAGCCAGATGTGTCGCGATTGTCTTCAGGTTCGATAGTTAGCGGGGTTTGAAGCCTCCTTAAAAGTTTTAAATGCATTACGTATGCTCTGAGTGCGGTGACACATCGATCTGGAAGGGACATCGCGTTCGGTGACTTGCGTCGGGTCTTAACGAACTTTTAACGAAAATGGGATACAAGACTCAGCGAACCACTGTATACTCGGAACACTAATCTCCCGAAGGTTCGATGTCGCAGTTGTAACGCGTCCTAAGGCTTGGACAAAAACATAGAAGCCTGAATTCTCGGCACGGAAGCACCTTCCGTTGGTGTCTGAAACACAGGCGTCGAAAAAACGTCGAAAGATGCCGAGAGAGACGAACTGTCAGATTTTCTGGAACTTTAGAATATCCGACGGCTCACGTTGCTGGACATTTATCGACATCTTGGGACGTTTCACTTCAGCCGCGTTTTCCGAAACCCCACCGACTGACAGGCCCACGTGGTTTTTCGGAACTAAGAGCACCCAAGCCGCTCCCGCCTTTGGCGCAAAGCAGCGCTTCAGCCGGCAAGTGCAGCCACTCAAAGCGAGTACGACTCACCGTCAGCATTCTTCGTTCGCCAATTCAGCGAAAGATCGTGCCAAGGCTTCGAAAGCTCGCAGCAGTGACTCACTGCTCCGAGCTCGAAGCTCGCAAGCCGGCTCCGCAAGCTGAGCTCGCAAACACCAGCGTAGACGATTTCCTGCCCCGCTGGCGGTGTATTAGGTTTCAGGTTTTTCGAACAGCTATCAGGTTGCGAGCGGTTCGATCAACGCGTAGTACTAGCTCTCAGCCGTTGTACCTCGTCGGATCAGCTTTTGAAGTCCTTCCTCTCAACGCCCGATGCTGCTGTCGAGGATTCCGAAAGATCTCATTCGGCCTCTACTATATCATCATTCTTGATTAGCGAGACGTGTAGCGTTTTTCCCATGAGTTAGGGCCCTTGGGACCTCACGTTCAAAGATCATTCAGCTTCTACTAGACTAATTCGCGAGACGTAGACTCCACACGTGAGGGTGATTGATGCACCACGCTAGTACATGGTTCGACCACGCTATTAGCACAACTAGTTGCACCGAGCCATGGGCGCGGTATCGGATCAGCACATATCGAAGCACCGGTCGAGCCAGCGGCAAAAGCGGAGAGTGATGCCGTCGCTGCGGCTGGCGCTGCTGGTGCTCGGGGTCGTCTCCGCCGCCTACGCGTGCCTCGTGCGCCCGCACTGCGCGCCCGCGACCCTGCCGCTATCAAAGGAGGTACGGGGTTTACAGCCTGCTGTGCTATGAGGTAACTCACAACCTTCTCTGTCGTCTCCGCCGCTTACGCGTGCCTCATGCGCCCGCACTTCGCGCCACCGGCCCCGCCGCTGTTAAAAAACGTAGGCGCTGCTGGGGACGTTCTTAGCCTTTGAGAATTCTCGCGAGTCACGTGTGCTTCGTGCCTCGTGCGCCCGCGGCACTGCGCGCCGCGACCTTGCCGCTGTCCAAGGAGGTACGCGCACGAGCACGCCGCAAAAGGTGGGGGACCCTGCTGTTGGGGGCGCCTTTCTCCGCATTGGGTAGAGCTTGAGAGCTACTTGGGAAGAGGCGGGGGGGAATGGAGAGCGGTGGGGGAACCAGACAGATGTGGGGAAGTCAGGAGGTGGAGAAGTGAGAGGTAAGAGGGGTTCTGAGGACGGGGATTGAGAGTGAGGAGGGATTTGGATCGTGTTCGGTTCGTGCATCACCGTCTCCTCGTACTGCTTTTCGCCTTGTCCTTTCCCATCCGTTTCCTCCACTTCTCAAACGGCCCGTTCATTTTTAGTCCACTTCTCTGTCTCTCTTCCCTGTTTCTTTCAGCCTCCGCGCTCCATCTCCTCCCTCCCCTCCCCCACCTCCCCCCTCCTTTCTGTTCCCACGCGGTCCCCCACGAGCTAGAGCTGCGGCAATGGACGGGCGCAAGCCAAATTCCCCCGGTATCCCCTTCCCCTCCCCCCCCCCAACCCCCCCTTCCCCCCCTCCCTCCCCCTCCCCCGCCCTTTCTTCCCCAATCCAGATTCGTCCCTTCCCCTTTCCAACCCCCTCTCACCTCCTCCCCCCTCCCCCCCAATTTGTAACACTCCGCCCGTACCTTCCCCCGTGTGCGCCCGCAGCAACTGCAGCTGCAGATGATGCGCGCAGAGGGGGTAAGGCTTCCCCTTGTCCCTCCCCCCTTCCTCACATCCCCACCCCCAAATTTGAAGTCTCCGCCCATACCTCCCCCCATGCGCGCCCACAGGAGCTGGAGCTGCTGCAGATGATGCGCGCAGGGGGTAGGCTTTCCCTTTTCGTTTTCCCCCTTGCTCCCTTCCCCCGCCCCCCCGCCCGTGCCTCCCCCCATGCGCGCCTATAGGAGCTGGGGCTGCTGCAGACGATGCGCGCAGAGGGAAAAAGACTTTCCAGCTTTCCTCCCCCCGTCCTCATCTTCCCCTCCACCTCCCGCGCATGCGCGCCCGCAGGAGCTGGAGCTGCTGCAGACGATGCGCACGGGTGGGGGCGCAACGGTGAAGGTGGTGACGGTGGGAGAAGGTGGAGGGGGAGGGGGAAGGGGAGGCGGAACGGAAAACGGGGAAGCGGAGGTGGGCGGAGAGGAAGGTGATGGGGGAGGGGAGCCAGCGAGCCTGGGGTACATGGCGGACCACCCTGACCTGCTGCACGCGCTGCTACACACCGTGAGTGCTGCCCGCTGCTGGGTTGTGCGAGTTGATGCCTGCTGGTGGGTGGTGCGTGGGGGAGGGAAGCAGCGAGTCTGGGTTACATGGTGGATCACGCTGGCCTGCTGCAAGCGCTCCTGCTCACTGTGAGCGCTGCAGTCCAGCCACACGCACCACCATGCAACTTGACTTCCCACGTGCTTTCTTCTTGTATTCTCAAGTTTTTCTTGACTGCTGACGTGCTTCGTGACTGTCTTAACGCTCACCCAGCAGCAGGAGGAGCGGGAGCAGGAGGAGCGGGAGCAGGAGGAGCCGGAGGGGCTGTGGGGACCAGTGCAGCAGGAGGAGTGGAGGCAGTGCGATGCACCTTCCAGGAAATACCGCGGTGGGTTGAATGAAGTGGGCACGTTTTGCTGCAGTACGTGCTTGTCGCGTTCCCTCCTTTCACATTGCCTCCTTCGTTTTCCACCCTTCTCGTTCCACTTGCTCTCGTCGTTATCACAACCCCTTCACCACAGTCCATCGGGTAAGGATGGATGGATCATCCATCACCCCCCTCCCCCATCCCCCCCCTTTTCTTCACCCCCTTTCTCGATGAACATCCCTTCGTGATATGAGCCGTGTTTTGAGTCGACTCAAAACATGGATCATCCATCAAACCCCCCCCCCCCCCCCCCCCCCCCCTCCCCTTCTCGATGAACACCCCTCCCTCCCCTTCCATCTCTCCTCTTCCTTTCTCCTTCCACTTCCCTCTCCCACGTTCCCCCCTCTCTCTCACGCGCTCCACCCCAAATCAGACGCGCCACTGCTGGAGTCAAACGGCTATCTGCAGGTGTTTCTGGGCGGGGCTGCTCCTTGCTCCCCTTCCCTTTCCCTAAATCCCTTGCTTTTTTCCGTCCTCACGCCCTTCCTCTCCTCCCTCTGTCTGCCCCCTCACCCCAATCAGAGGCACCACCGCCGGAGTTAAACGGCTATCTGCAGGTGTTTCTAGACGGAGGGCTCAACCAGCTGTGTACATTTGACGCCCCTTTAAGTACCCTGTCCGCCCCATCCCTCATATCCCTCCGCTTCTCCCCCCGTCCGCCCTCTCACGTCCCTATCAGACGCGCCACTGCCGGAGTCAAACGGCTATCTGCAGGTGTTTCTAGACGGAGGGCTCAACCAGCAGCGCATCAGCGTGAGTGGGTGGGTAGCCTTGTCCTCTTGTCACAGCACACGGCTCTAAGTGGTAACGGCTTCGCTTGTAGTGAGTCAGCCGAGTCAATCCCGTGGGGCCCGAAGCAGGTGGAGAAGGCACATGGTCGATGCATGCAGGTGTGTCCGGATGGAGAGGGCTCAACTCAACTCAACTCAACTCAACTCAACTCAACTCAACTCAACTCAGCTCAGCTCAGCTCAGCTCAGCTCAGCTCAGCTCAGCTCAGCTCAGCTCAGCTCAGCTCAGCTCAGCTCAGCTCAGCTCAGCTCAGCTCAGCTCAGCTCAACTCAACTCAACCAGCACCGCGTCAGCGTGAAGGGGTGGGTGGCCTTGCCTCAGCGAGCATCAAACTTACAGGAGCGCATCAGCGCCCTCCACGGGCTGATGTGAGGCTGGCAGCGACTCATGCATCCCCGTTCCACACCCGTCAGCACAACCATGCCGCCCTCTCTCCTATCCCTCCTTACGTCAAGCCTCCCCAACTCACCGCGTGTGCAGCATGTCGTGAGCTGGCAGCTGCCCTGTGGCTCACGATGCATCCGCACCAGGAATGCAATCCAACGCACTTGCCACGTTTCTCCTGCTCCACTAAACGCCACGCAATGCCACTAAACGCCACTCAGTCCCAATTAACGTCACTCACGCCACTTACCTCTCTCCCCATCCTCTCCACCTCCCCTCTCCCGCACCTCCTCCCAACCAGGTGTGCAACGCAGTGGCAGTGGCTCGCCAGCTGGACGCCAGTCAAACGGCACTTACCTCCCTCTCTTCATCCTCCCCACCTCCTTCCCCACCTCCCCCTCTCTCCCCCTCACCTCACCAGGTGTGCAACGCAGTGGCAGTGGCTCGCCAGCTGGACGCCAGTCAAACGGCACTTACCTCCCTTTCTTCATCCTCCCCACCTCCTTCCCCACCTCCCCCTCTCTCCCCCTCACCTCACCAGGTGTGCAACGCAGTGGCAGTGGCTCGCCAGCTGGACGCCAGTCAAACGGCACTTACCTCCCTCTCTTCATCCTCCCCACCTCCTTCCCCACCTCCCCCTCTCTCCCCCTCACCTCACCAGGTGTGCAACGCAGTGGCAGTGGCTCGCCAGCTGGACGCCAGTCAAACGGCACTTACCTCCCTCTCTTCATCCTCCCCACCTCCTTCCCCACCTCCCCCTCTCTCCCCCTCACCTCACCAGGTGTGCAACGCAGTGGCAGTGGCTCGCCAGCTGGACGCCAGTCAAACGGCACTTACCTCCCTTTCTTCATCCTCCCCACCTCCTTCCCCACCTCCCCCTCTCTCCCCCTCACCTCACCAGGTGTGCAACGCAGTGGCAGTGGCTCGCCAGCTGGACGCCAGTCAAACGGCACTTACCTCCCTCTCTTCATCCTCCCCACCTCCTTCCCCACCTCCCCCTCTCTCCCCCTCACCTCACCAGGTGTGCAACGCAGTGGCAGTGGCTCGCCAGCTGGACGCCAGTCAAACGGCACTTACCTCCCTCTCTTCATCCTCCCCACCTCCTTCCCCACCTCCCCCTCTCTCCCCCTCACCTCACCAGGTGTGCAACGCAGTGGCAGTGGCTCGCCAGCTGGACGCCAGTCAAACGGCACTTACCTCCCTTTCTTCATCCTCCCCACCTCCTTCCCCACCTCCCCCTCTCTCCCCCTCACCTCACCAGGTGTGCAACGCAGTGGCAGTGGCTCGCCAGCTGGACGCCAGTCAAACGGCACTTACCTCCCTCTCTTCATCCTCCCCACCTCCTTCCCCACCTCCCCCTCTCTCCCCCTCACCTCACCAGGTGTGCAACGCAGTGGCAGTGGCTCGCCAGCTGGACGCCAGTCAAACGGCACTTACCTCCCTCTCTTCATCCTCCCCACCTCCTTCCCCACCTCCCCCTCTCTCCCCCTCACCTCACCAGGTGTGCAACGCAGTGGCAGTGGCTCGCCAGCTGGACGCCAGTCAAACGGCATTTACCTCCCTCTCTTCATCCTCCCCACCTCCTTCCCCACCTCCCCCTCTCTCCCCCTCACCTCACCAGGTGTGCAACGCGGTGGCCGTTGTTCGCCTGCTCAACGCCCGCCACTCAACGCCACTTACCTCCCTCTCACTATGATTCTTCCTTCCCCACCCCCCTGCATCTCCCTCCTATCCTCCAGGTGTGCAACGCGGTGGCCGTGGCTCGCCTGCTCAACGCCACTCTGCTCGTCCCCGAGTTCGCCACCAACATCTTTTGGCAGGACTCCAGGTGGGCGGCACACAGGGCGGCAGGTGGGCGGCACACAAGGCGGCAGGTGGGCGGCACACAGAGGGCAGGTGGGCGGTACAAAGAGCTCCAGGTGAGCGTCCATGCCATCTTATGCTGTTGGCAAGGGGGTCATGATGCTCGTGGAGAGGCCGTGTGAAGCTTGAGATGACTCGGGAGAACAGAGAGTTTGAATACCGACCCGACCCGGCCAGGCCCCTCCACACCTGGCATGGACCACTGCCACCTACTATACTATGCCTCCTCCCCCTTTCTTCTTTCAAGCCAGCGTCTCTCATCCCTCCTGCAATCTCTTCTCATCAAACCCACTGTTCCCTTCCCTGGTCCCATGTACACTCCCCCTTCTCACCAGTCAATTCGAGGTCATATTTGACCTCGACCATTTCATCGCCTCCCCTTGCAAGGCAACGTCGCATAGCTGCTCGTCTCCCCACTCACCGTGCGTGGAGCACAGCGGCCTGCTTTGCCTCCTCGTCCTCTCCCTTCCTTCGATCTAGCCCGCTGGAATGGTCCTTTGTATTGGTAATGAGCATGCATTCTGGGTTGAGGGCGAGGCAAGGTTCCTTTCACCATCACGTCTCTTCCATTCACCCAATCCCTCTCCTCCCTCTGCCCATGCTCTCCCCCCTCATCTCATCCTGCCAGTCAGTTCGCGGACATCTTCGATCTCGACCATTTCATTTCCTCACTTCGAGGGGACATCCACATAGAGCGCCGTCTCCCCCGCCACCTCGCGTGGAGCACAGCGGCCTACTACGCCTCCTCGCCCTCCCGCCGCAACAAGCTCATCCGCTCCGCACCCCTGCACGCCACCAAGAAGTGGTACCTCAAGCGCGTGCTGCCACGGCTGAAGCAGTGAGTGCTGTGCTGCTGTCACCTCCCAGTATGTCACCAGCCTCTCCCTCATTTGGTGAGGGTAACCAGCTATAACACCTCGCTACCCACTGGGTCAAAACGAGGGTGTTATTTGGCGCAGCGGAGTGCCCTTAACACAGCCCACAGGCGTTACACTCGTTCCCCCCCTGGTACCAACGTCCCCCCCTGGTACCAACGTCCCCCCCTGGTACCAACGTCCCCCCCTGGTACCAACGTCCCCCCCTGGTGCCAACGTCCCCCCCTGGTACCAACGTCCCCCCCTGGTGCCAACGTCCCCCCCTGGTACCAACGTCCCCCCCTGGTAGCAACGTCCCCCCCTGGTACCAACGTCCCCCCCTGGTACCAACGTCCCCCCCTGGTACCAACGTCCCCCCCTGGTACCAACGTCCCCCCCTGGTACCAACGTCCCCCCCTGGTGCCAACGTCTTCCCCTGGTACCAACGTCCCCCCCTGGTGCCAACGTCCCCCCCTGGTAGCAACGTCCCCCCCTGGTAGCAACGTCCCCCCCTGGTACCAACGTCCCCCCCTGGTACCAACGTCCCCCCCTGGTAGCAACGTCCCCCCCTGGTAGCAACGTCCCCCCCTGGTACCAACGTCCCCCCCTGGTACCAACGTCCCCCCCTGGTGCCAACGTCCCCCCCTGGTACCAACGTCCCCCCCTGGTACCAACGTCCCCCCCTGGTACCAACGTCCCCCCCTGGTGCCAACGTCTTCCCCTGGTACCAACGTCCCCCCCTGGTGCCAACGTCCCCCCCTGGTAGCAACGTCCCCCCCTGGTAGCAACGTCCCCCCCTGGTAGCAACGTCCCGCCCTGGTACCAACGTCCCCCCCTGGTACCAACGTCCCCCCCTGGTGCCAACGTCCCCCCCTGGTACCAACGTCCCCCCCTGGTACCAACGTCCCCCCCTGGTACCAACGTCCCCCCCTGGTACCAACGTCCCCCCCTGGTACCAACGTCCCCCCCTGGTACCAACGTCCCCCCCCTGGTACCAACGTCCCCCCCTGGTGCCAACGTCCCCCCCTGGTACCAACGTCCCCCCCTGGTGCCAACGTCCCCCCCTGGTACCAACGTCCCCCCCTGGTGCCAACGTCCCCCCCTGGTACCAACGTCCCCCCTGGTACCAACGTCCCCCCCTGGTACCAACGTCCCCCCCTGGTACCAACGTCCCCCCCTGGTACCAACGTCCCCCCCTGGTACCAACGTCCCCCCCTGGTACCAACGTCCCCCCCTGGTGCCAACGTCCCCCCCTGGTACCAACGTCCCCCCCTGGTGCCAACGTCCCCCCCTGGTACCAACGTCCCCCCTGGTACCAACGTCCCCCCCTGGTACCAACGTCCCCCCCTGGTACCAACGTCCCCCCCTGGTACCAACGTCCCCCCCTGGTACCAACGTCCCCCCCTGGTACCAACGTCCCCCCCTGGTACCAACGTCCCCCCCTGGTGCCAACGTCCCCCCCTGGTACCAACGTCCCCCCCTGGTCCCAACGTCCCCCCCTGGTACCAACGTCCCCCCCTGGTACCAACGTCCCCCCCTGGTCCCAACGTCCCCCCCTGGTACCAACGTCCCCACCTGGTGCCAACGTCCCCCCCTGGTACCAACGTCCCCCCCTGGTACCAACGTCCCCCCCTGGTACCAACGTCCCCCCCTGGTGCCAACGTCCCCCCCTGGTACCAACGTCCCCCCCTGGTCCCAACGTCCCCCCCTGGTACCAACGTCCCCCCCTGGTACCAACGTCCCCCCCTGGTCCCAACGTCCCCCCCTGGTACCAACGTCCCCCCCTGGTGCCAACGTCCCCCCCTGGTACCAACGTCCCCCCCTGGTACCAACGTCCCCCCCTGGTGCCAACGTCCCCCCCTGGCACCAACGTCCCCCCCTGGTACCAACGTCCCCCCCTGGTACCAACGTCCCCGTTGGCGCGGACTTCAGGGAGTCGGCCCCCTGCAGCTGGGACCTAGATTTCAGGATCGTTCACTGGGTTCGAGCTGGTAACCACACTTCAGTTCTCGCCATAGGCGGAAAGTGTGGACCATCCGGGACTCGAACCCTAGGCTCTGATACCAGTATAACACCTCGCTACCCACTGGGTCAAAACGAGGGTGTTATTTGGCGCAGCAGAGTGCCTTTAACACAGCCCACAGGCGTTACATCAGCGGTCCAGCTCCGCTCCCCTGCACACAAGCAGCAAGTGGTACATCAACGGCTTAAATCGTGAGTGGGGGTTGCATGGCACTGTGGACATGCCTCCAACCCAACACCCTCAGAGGCGGTAGTGATAACCAGCTTTGTTCCGCGCCTCTGCACGCCAGCAGCAAGTGGCACCTCAAGCGCGTGCTGCCACGACTGAAGCAGTGAGTGGACTAGTACGGCTCTGTGGTAAGGTAACGCCTCCAACCAAACACCCTCACAGGCGGTACTGACAACCAGCTCTGCTCCGCGGGTGTTGCCACGGCATGAACAGTGAATGGGGTTGCACCGTTGTAAGTTCACCCAGTATTTCTTCCTAGTTAGCCCCAGAAAATCCGTCTTGCTCGTAGCGCCCAGATCATCCCATCCCACTTGGCGTGCTTCGCCTTCACTCACCTGGCATACCCTGCACCCCCCCTTCCCTGCACCACCCCCCCACCACACCACAGACTCACCCACCCAAACACACACACGCACACACACACACACGCACACACACACATGCACGCATACACACACATACGCACACACACACACACACGCACACACACACACACGCACACACACACGCATACACACACACACACACACACACACACACACACACACACACACACACACACACACACACACACACACACACACAAGCACACATTGTTGTTCTCCCAACCTCTCCCCACCTATCTCCCCCTGCATCTGCCACTATTTCCCCCCAGGCGTGGCATCGTGGCACTAACACCCTTCTCCCATCGCCTTGCCTTCACGGGGCTGCCCCGGGAGATCCAACGGCTGCGGTGCCGCGTCAACTTCCACGCGCTGCGATTCGTGCAGCCAATCAGGGAGCTGGGGTGAGTGCAGCCAATCAGGGAGCTGGGGTGAGTGCAGCCAATCAGGCAACTGGGGTGAGTGCAGCCAATCAGGGAGCTGGGGTGAGTGCAGCCAATCAGGTAGCTGGGGTGAGTGCAGCCAATCAGGGAATTAGGGTGAAAGCAGCCAATCAGCAGCCACCAAAATGGTGGCTTACCGGTAGGATCAACAACATGAAGGAGTAAGCTAATCTGAATCTGTAGAATATGATATGACCCAAAGTTACAGTTTTTTGCGACAGAAATGTGCTTCGCAATCCGATCACCCAACCTCCTCTTCTTCGCCCCACTGCTTAGGCCCTTCTTCCAGCCAACGTATAAGCAATAGAAACACTTTTCGTACTGATTTCTTAGCACGCGACCTGCTTCTTTATCAGGTCGTAGCTGTTGAGTCCATCTGTTCTACTACGCCTCGATCATGCGTCAATCTTCGTGATTACCAGATCGAGCCTCTTGATCCGTTTATTTTACGCTCCTCGCTGTATTCAGTAGCAGTAATTTCCGTGTCGCTCCTGAAGCGTCGCTACTCCCGTTTCTAGTAGTCGCTACAGCGAGCAGCCGGGTAAGCAGCAGCAGCAACAGCATCAACCACGCTGATTGGGTAGTCAACAGCCTCAAAGGTCAAAGACGCTAATCTCTTGCTTCGAAACTTATCTCTAGCGACGACTCTGCATTCCTGTGACATCCGGCGACAACCGAGACTTCGCTAGCTGCGACTGAGACGGTGGGGATTGCGGTGCTTGCCCGCGGCATCAGGACTTGCTCCTGATCAACAGATCCTGCGTCTGTCGCGAGCAAGATAACGGATCCTGCTTGAGATCGGATTAGCTGCTACTTAACGCTCTGCTTCCTCTCCCGGCTGTTCTGAATTGGCTTGGTGAGTGCGAGGAGGCGAGACATTGGGACGGAGCATAGGCGTCTAGACAGCGCTGGTAAAAGTTTCTTATTTGAGCGTCGTTTCTGCAGTTGTTTCTGGCAAAATGTCAAACGCGTCCATTTTGCGTGCTAAGCCATAGCGGTGTCAGGTACATCATGTGAAAACCCGTCTCACACGATTCTTGGCATTTAATCTCCAGCAACATGTGCGCTTATCCAAAAGCTTCATGTATGTAGCAGTGCGCCGCTCAAGTGTGCAGTGCGCCGCTTGAGTCTGCAATGCGCCGCTTTCTTCCCCGCCTCTTTGTGCTGCAGGTGATTGCGACGGCGACGGTGGCAGTGCAAAAGTGATGGATAAATTTTTTTTGCCACTGAGTGCTGCTGCTGCTAAGCTTGAAGATGAGCTTCTTGCGACCCAGCACCAAGTTCGGGAGCTGCAGGGTCAGCAGGAGCGGGGTAAGCGTGAGAGCGGGGTACCTCGCTCCTGCTGACCCTGCAGCTCCCGAACTTGGTGCTGGGTCGCAAGAAGCTCATCTTCAAGCTTAGCAGCAGCAGCAGCAGCACTCAGTGGCCGAAAATTTCTATCCATCAGTTTTGCACCGCCACCGTCGTCGTCGCAGTCACCTGCAGCACAAAGAGGTGGGGAAGAAAGCGGCGCATTGCAGACTCAAGTGGCGCAGTGCACACTTGAGCGGCGCACTGCTACATACATGAAGCTTTTGGATAAGCGTGCATGTTGCTGGAGATTAGATACCAAGAATCGTGTGAGACGGGTTTTCACATGATGTACTTAGTACGCAAAATGGATGCGTTTGACTTTTCGCCAGAAAAAACTGCAGAAACGACGCTATATAAAGAAACTTTTACCAGCGCTTTCTCGACGCCTATGCTCCGTCCCAACGTCTCGCCTCCTCGCACTCACCAAGCCAATTCAGCACAGCCGGGAGAGGAGGCAGAAGTATCAGCTAATCCGATAGCAAGCAGGATCCGTTATCTTGCTCGCGATAGACGCAGGATCCATTGATCAAAGGAGCAAGTCCTGACACCGCGGGCAAGCACTGCAATTTCCATCGTCTTAGTCGCAGCTAGCGAAGTCTCGGTTGTCGCCGGATGTCACACGAAATCAGAGTCGTCGCTAGAGATAAGTTTCGAAGCAAGAGATTAGCGTCTTTGACCTTTGAGGCCGTTGACTACCCAATCAGCGTGGTTAATGCTGTTGCTGCTGCTGCTGCTTACCCGGCTGCTCGCTGGAGCGACTACTAGAAACGGGAGTGGCGACGCTCGAGAGCGACACGGAAATTACTGCTACTGAATACAGCGAGGAGCATGAAAAGTAACCGGATCAATAGGCTCAATTTGGTAATCACGAAGATTGACGCATGATCGAGGCATAGTAGAACAGATGGACTCAACAGCTATGATCTGATAGAAAATCAGGTCGCGTGCTAAGACATCAGTACGAAATGTGTTTCTATTGCTTACACGCTGGCGGGAAGAAGGGCCTAAGCGGTGGCGCGAAGAAGAGGAGGTTGGGTGATCGGATTGCGAAGCACATTTCTGTGGCGAATAACCGTAACTTTGGTTTCGCCGGTAGGATCAACAACATAAAGGAGTAAGCTAATCTGAAACTGAACACTGCGCTGATGAAGGCTTAGTTGCCGAAACGCGTTCGAACGCATATCCTAGGCGATGTTTTGTCTTACCGATTGACTTACCAAGTCTTTCTTCTACTAGCTTTCTTCTCTCCTAGTTGAATATGGTTAGATCCATTTAGCGAGCGACCTCAGTTGGCTTGATGCGATCAAATCCGCCCTTAAACAACATACCGGTAGGATCATCAACATGAAGGAGTAAGCTAATCTGAATCTGTAGAATATGATATGATACTTTATTTAGGCAGCATGCTTGCACCATGCTTTCAGCAGCATTGATCAAGCAGCCAAGCACACTTGCTTTCGCCGCCCCGCGCCACCTTTCCCCTCCCTTGAACCGCTTTGTGTTACAACTTAGGCTTAGAACTGATACATTAGTAATGAGCTTGAAGCTCTTTAAGTACATCCAAGAAGGGTAGGGAATGCGGAGATAACTACTACAACGGGAGCTAGACTACGGGCTAGGCACGGGTGCTTGTGTGATCTCTGCGTTCGTTGGTCCTTAGTCATTTTCCTAGTGCACACACAGCTTGCTAGTTCACGGGGAGAATTGGCAAGAGTTTCACAAGAGAAAGTTGACAACAAAGGTACAATGAAGTTGGCATGTCAAGACTACATCAGAGCTAGCATTCAGGTCGGTCGACTGCCAGCACAGCATGGTCGACCGCGTTCCAGCACGACTTGGTCGACCGCGCTCCAGCACGACTTGGTCGACCGCGCTCCAGCAGTGCAAAGTCGAAAGCGTGCCAACGCTGCAGGTTGACGGCGTGCCATCGTTGCTCCTGTAGAACAGCAACGCACCTACTTCGCAGATGCTCGTTGATGATTGGAGGGCTAAGCCTCGTCACCTAAACACCGCACGCACCAACTCATCTTCGTGCTGACGGCTCCATCTGATCCGCCACGTCGACCTCGGGATTCCACCACCGAGGTCGGACTCGCCAACTTTGCCTGGGCGACCGTCGCACTCCTTCGCAGAACCTCGTCACCCAGGTATCCTGGTCGACCAGGCAACCATGTCGACCAGCTGCTGCTGTATGTGTTCGTCGACCTCCTAAGTCGACGAGCACACCAAGTCGACCTCACCGGTTCGACCACTCCTCTGGTCGACCAGCTCCAGGTCGACGTCACTCCTGGTCGACCAGCTCCACGTCGACCAGTGCAGTTGTCAGCCGACCACCCAAGTCGGCTACCCAAAGTCGGCGTCACCAAGTCGACGCCCCTTCTACGTCGGCGCCGACTTCCAGACTGACCTCTTGAAGTCGGCGACCTCCCAAGTCGGCCAGCTCGCCCAAGTCGGCGTCGCCCACTACTGCAAGTCGGCTGTACCTTCCGTACACCCCACCACGAAGTCGGCTCCGCCCAAGCGTGTACGGGGCCAACACACAAGTCCCGTTGACAGGGAATGGGTGGGGAAGGGAATCGGGGGCAATCCCAAGGGATTGGGGGTAATCCCAAGGCAATCTCCAATTGGTGGGTTGGAGATTGCTTGGAGATTACATTTGGGTTTTGGATGGGATGTAGGTGTACACCCAACCAAACACAAAGTGCAAACTACACTACTCTAGGATAGAAAATATAAAGTACAAAGTGTGAGATTGAGAGCTAACACTAACACCCCCCCATAGGCGACAATCGAACTCAGGGCAGAGAAGGTGGAGCACAGAGCCCCATGGCGCCAAGGAGACGATGGCGAGGAACTTTCCCAAGGGGCTTGGTGAACAGAGCAGCCAGGTTGTAGTCAGATGCAACGTACTCCACGTTCAGCTGCTCCCGCTGGACAAGGTCACGGATGAAGAAATGCCAAAGTTCGATGTGCTTGGTGCGAGTGTGATACACAGGGTCTTGGGAGAGGTGGATAGTACTCTGGTTGTCACACCAGAGGGTGGGGGTCGACTGAGGGTAGCCAAGCTCCTGGAGTAGGAAGGTGAGCCAACGAGCCTCTTGAGCAGCCATGGTGCCAGCGTAGAGCTCTGCCTCACAGGAGGAGAGGGAGACTGCTGATGACCTGGTGGAGCGCCAACTGACAATTCCGCTCCCAAGGGTGAAGCAGTACCCCTGAGAGGAGCGTCGGTCGGTCTGGTCATCGGCCCAAGAGGAGTCAGTGTAACCTTCCAGTCGAGGAGGGGAGAGCCCACCGAGTGTGAGAACGTGAGACTTGGTGCCCTGGAGATAACGCAGTACCCGCTTCGCCGCCTTCCAGTGAAGTTCAGTGAAGCGCCCAGGGGCCACGTAGCGAGAGAGGACATTGACAGGATATGCCAGGTCCGGTCGGGTGCACATCATGGCGTACATGAGGGACCCAACAAGCTCTGGGTATGGCTCAGAGCAGGCCTCTGGTGTGGGTACAGCTGGGGCTGTGAGGAGGTGTTGCAGCGGCAGCGGGGTGGCAACAGGTGTGCAAAGCTCCATCTCAAACCGCTTGAGCACATTGTTGATGTAGAACTCTTGGGAGAGTGAAATGGTGCGAGCCGTGCGATCACGTGTGATCTCCATCCCTAGGTAGTGCTCTTAGTTGAGATTTTACGTTTACGGGGGTTTACGTGTACGTGACTTTATGTAGTAAACTTACGTTTACTTACGTGGGCCCAAAACAGCTTTACGTTTACGGTCAGCCAGAAACATTTCTGACTGCGCGGAAAGATGGGAAATCATTGGACTAAGTGGCTGCATGGGAAGCGCCTAATCAATGACTAGCTTGGTTCTTCTACGCCCAAGCATGTTAGACATTATTACATCAACTTACAGATGCCCCAAATCCACACTGACATGTCACAGCCTCTCCCACCTCATATCAGTCAATTTTTTCCACTTCGCAGACAAATTTTTTTTTTTTTGCCCTGCCCGTGCAAGTTTACGTAATATTACACATAAGAAAACGTAAAGGTAAACTCAACGTAAGCTTACGCTTTACTTGACCCTAAAAAACGTAATGTACCAACTAAGATAGTGCTTGAGGTCACCAAGGTCTTTCATCAGGAGGGCCTTGCTCAGCGCCGCCTGGACAGAGGTCATCTGGGCCGAGTCCTTGGCAACGAGGATGAAGTTTTCGACGTAGACAAGGATGTAGAATGGCTCAGAATGACGGCGAATGAAGAGAGTCGGGTCCGCAGATGATGGGTGGAAGTCCAGGGAGAGAAGGACTTCTTTAACCTTGTTGTGTCATTCGCGAGGGGCTTGCTTAAGGCCGTAGACGGGGCGATTCAGCTTCCAGACAGTGTTGGGAGGGAATTCTCCTGGGAAGCCTTTAGGTCTGTCCATGAACACTGTCTCCTTGAGGCGTCCTTGTAGGAATGCTGATGAGACGTCAATGAATTTGATCTCAAAGTCTTCTCGTGCAGCGACATCCATGAGTGTGCGAATAGTGGGAGGTTTGGATGTGGGGGAGAAGGTCTTGAAGAAGTCGTGGTACTGCTGCTAGGCAAAACCCTTGGCTACGTAACGCGCTTTGAACACCGGGGCCTCGTCTGGGAGCTGTTTCACACGAAACAACCACTTGCCCCCGACGACTTTGACTCCTAGAGGTGGAGTCTCGTCGTCGAAGGAGTGGTTGCGGGTGAATGCTGCAATCTCCGCTTCCATGGCAGCACGCCATTCGGCTGGATGGGGACCCGAGAGAGCCTCTTGGACGGTGAGAGGGATAGGCATGGTCGGGTTCTCCGTGAAGTTGAGTGAGGGTGATTCAGTGATGTCGGGGAAGATGTGCGAGAGCTGAGGAATGACAGCGTGAAGATCACACAGCTCCTCATGCCTGTCTTCCAGAAGGGTAGAGGGTACATCCCCCCCAGCAGGAGGAGGTGGAGTGATCGCAGTGCATCGAAAAATCAGTGCCAGTGGAAGAGCAGCGCCATGCGAACGAGTGCCATGAGCGACCGGAGAAGAGGGTGGGGCAGGTGGTGTCGGAGGGGTTGATTTAGGAGGCTTGGGTGGTGGAATGGGCCGCCGCTGGTACGTGATCAGCTCGGGTGACTGTGGGAGAGCCGGTTCCTCTGAGGTAGGGGGAACTGGGGGAGGATGTGGGGCCGGAGGGTGTGACGGCCGATGGTAAGTGATAGGTGCGCTCGGAGGTGGCAGCACATTCGGCGGAGTGGGAGGTGAGGGTGAAGACACCGGCGCGGTCGGGTCAGAGATCTCTGAGGGGGAAGGTGCGATGGCAGGAGAGGGAGGAGGTGAAGGGGGCGGCGCAGGTGGGAGGTCAGGGTGCGCATCAAAGTCCGCCCACACGAGAGAGGGTGGATCGGAAGGAGGATCCGGTCCCGAGGTGGAGTAGAATGGGCGGAGTTCATCAAAGACAACGTCGCGGCTCCGGACTAACTGTTGAGTGGAGGGGTTGAGGAAAAGATAGTCAGGGGAGTCGGCGTTGTGCCCAAGGTAGATGCACGTTTGAGTCTTGGGACCGAGTTTGCCACCGCGCTGTCGCCTGGCCTGAGGGTTGAGGAGGACATAGGCGGTGCACCCCCAGACGCGAAGAGAGCGAGCAGTGGGTGTTTTCCCGATCCAAAGTGTGGTTGGAGTGGTGTCGGGAAGATGCGGGTGGGGGTAAAGATTATAGAGGAGGGCGGCATGGTAGAGGGCGTACCCCCAGAGAGAGAGTGGAGCGTTGGAATGGCTGAGGAGGCACCGAGTGATCTGCACCAGGGTGTGGTTGCGGCTCTCTGCTATGCCGTTCTGCTGTGGGCTGTCAGGAAGGGTGAAGTTTTGCTGGATGCCTTCTGAGGAGTAGAAGGCTTTGAGCTTGTCGTTGCAGAATTCACCCCCCCCATCCGAGTGAAGGCGCTTAACCTTGCGGTCAAAGGTGGTCTGTGTGGACGTGGACGTGGAGGACGTGGACGTGGACGTGGACGTGGTCGTGGACGTGGACGTGGACATGGACGTGGACGTGGACGTGGTCGTGGACGTGGACGTGGACGTGGACGTGGACGCCACGCCATGATGACCTCTGGGGCCTCAGCCTTGGTGTGGAGGAGGTGAACAGAGACATAGCGGGAGTGGTCATCCACTATAGCAAGGAAGTAGCGATGGCCACCTCGTGCGGGAACGGGGGCAGGGCCCCAGACGTCCATGTGCACGAGGTCTAGAGGTGCTGCTGCGACTGTGGGTGCGGCAGGATGGGGCTGTTGGCGCAGTTTGCTCTTGGTGCAATCAAGGCACGCGGGAGCGGGTGAGTCAGGTGGTGGAGGAAGTGCGGCTGGCAGGCCGAGAAGAAGTTCCTTGGAGGCCATGTCAGCAAGCGTGCGGAAGTTTGGGTGCCCGAGGCGATGGTGGTAAAGAATGGTCGGGTTGGAGAGGCTGCGACATGGGCATGGTGTGATAGGAGCCTGTGCTTGGGTGGTTGACACCTGTGGGAGATGTACGTGTAGCGTGTAGAGGCCGCTGCTGTTGAGGGTGAAGCGGGCTAGGATTTTGTTGGTGAGAGGATCGATGATGTCGCAATGGTCCTCGTTCTCCGAGAAGACTGTGCGTAGTCCTGCATCCTGAATTTCCGTTTGAGCCACTAGATTGTGGCGTAGTGAAGGCACGCACATACCAGTGACAGTGCCGGATGGGAAGGCGGGGCACGGGACTGTCACTATATGAAGACGCTGATGATAGCAGCGACGGCACTCTCCCATTTCCGGTACTTTTCAACGGCTTCCTCGTACGCCCTCATGTCAGTATCACTAGCAGATTCGGTTGGCTCACGGGGAATTGGGGCTGTTTTCCCTTGCCACGGTTGAGGAAGACGTCCTTGAGATCTAATCCTTGCACGTCACGACTCAAGAGGTGCTTGTCAACCCCATAGCTCCATGCCTTGAAGTTGGAGCTAGAGCCATCGGCTTCAAGGCGGAGTGGGGTGATGGGGTTGGCCATGGTGGACGAGGCAAATGCGATGATGAAGAACCCTTAGTGTTTCGCGCGGAGCGCCGCTCTTAAGTCACCGATAGGAACTTGAGGTTTGGGGTTTCCGAAGGAGATTTTGAAGAACCGGAGGTTTAGGGTTTACGAGAGAGAATTTTGAGGTTCAGGGTTTTCTGAAGGAGAATTTGACAGAAACGCCAATTTAGTGTCAACTACTTGCTAATCCTATTCCCACACACCCCCCCACACACCACCCTCAGCTTCGCGGCTACGCTGCTGCTCAGCTTCGCGGCTACACGGCTGCTCGGCTTCGCGGCTACACGGCTGCTCGGCTTCGCGGCTACGCTGCTGCTCGGCTGCGCTGCTGCACCTGTTCAGCTGCGGGAAGGGGGGATGGGGGTAGGAGTGCAGATGCGGAGCGACGGGCGGCAGCCCGAAGGTGACGCTGCAGGGCGACGGGCGGCGGCCCGACGAGAAGCTGCGGGGCGACGGGCGGCGGCCCAACGAGGAGAAGAAATGACGCAATGACGTTCGACGAAAGCGAGCGATAGGTTATAGCGCCGACGATGCGCTTACCAGAGAAGTCGTAGATGTCGTCGAATGTGACGGGAAGGTGGTGCGGGAGAATTTCCGCCCACGAATGTCGCGAATCACTGGCGACGAGATTGAAGGTGGTTACGCCGAGGTTTGCGGGACGAGCATCCGCAGAGATAAGAGGATCATGATCCGCGTGTGCGGTTGAAGTGCTCTGATACCATGTTACAACTTAGGCTTAGAACTGATACATTAGTAATGAGCTTGAAGCTCTTTAAGTACATCCAAGAAGGGTATGGAATGGGTGGGGAAGGGAATCTTGGGCAATCCCTAGGGATTGGGGGTAATCCCAAGGCAATCTCCAATTGGTGGGTTGGAGATTGCTTGGAGATTACATTTGGCTTTGGTTGGGATATAGGTGTACACCCAACCAAACACAAAGTGCAAACTACACCACTCTAGGATATAGAAAATATAAAGTACAAAGTGTGAGATTGAGGGCTAACACTAACACTTTGCGCCATCATTTCTGACTCCGTCTCAAATATGTGGCTCTTTCCCTTCCAAGCATAGACTGGTGCAGTTGCTGCTGAACCCAATCCTACGCCCCACCCAAACCCAGAGCGCAGTGCTCCATCTTTCTCCTCCCTTACCTCTCACTCCCCTTCCCCCCTTCCCTCACCCCTCTGTCTCCCCTCTTCCAGGCAGAAGCTGGTGCAGCGACTGCAGGACCCCTCTCTGCGCCCCACCCGTAAGGGACTTCCCCACTCACCTTCTGACAGCAAGAGTGCTGCTGTAATGGAGGATGGAGGGATGGAGAGAGGCGGAAGAGAGGAGGGGGTCGACGATTGGGACGAGGGTGCGGAGGGAAGTTGGGGGGTGCCACATTCGCTGTCTGCTGATACGAGTGCTGCTGACGTGGTGGGCCAAGGGAGGAAGGGAGGAGGAAGTGAGGAGAGGGGAGTGAGAGAGGAAGGGGGAGGGAATGAGGATGGAGGAGGAGGAGAGGAAGGAGGGGGAGAGAGCGAAGAGGGGAGAAGGATCCGGGTGGAGCTGGTTGGGGATGGAGGGGAGGGCGAGGACTCGGGAGGGGAGGGACGAGAGGGGGGAGTGGGAGGAGAAAGAAGAGTAGGTAGGAGCGAGGGCGAAAAGGGGGAGGAGGAGGGAGAGGAGGAGGTTGAGGAGTTGGGAGGGGAGAGAGTGGGGGAGGAGGTGGGGGAAAGAGGCAATGGAGAGGGGTTGGAGGAGCTTCTGTGGTGGGAGGCGAGGGCAAAGGGATCGGAGCATGGAAGGCAGAGGGATGGGAATGATGATGGGAGTGAGGATGGGAGGGATAAGGGACTGGAGCATGGAGAGGAGAAGGGTGTGAGGGATGATGGGAGTGAGGAGGGGGGGAAGGGAGGCAGTGGGGGGGAGGGGCTGGAAGAACTGCTGTGGTGGGAGGTGAGGGAGAAGAGAATGGAGCATGGAGAGGAGAGGGGTGAGGGTGAGGAGGAGGGGAGGAAGGGAGAAAAGGCGCTGCATGGGAGGGAGGGGGTGGGGAGGGATAGCAGGAGGCGTTGGGAGAGGGAGCTGGAAGGAGGTGAGGGGGAGGGAAATGGGCGATCAGCTTACAGGGGGAGCGATTTTTCCTGGGATTATGAGGGAAGGGAGGATGCATGGGGTAGTGGTGCAGAGAGGGAGAGTGTGGGGACTGAGCGTGTGAGGAGTGGGGATGGGGCAAGTGAGAGGGGGCTGCTTGGGGGTTACAGACGCAGGCGATTGCTGGAGCGAGTGGTGTGGGCCGATGTGGGGGGGAGCGGCAAAGCAAGGGGGAGCGATGTTGGGGGGGACGAAGCAGAGGGGGATGATGTGTGGGGGAGCGAGGTAAGGGGAGGCGTTTCCTGGGTGGGAGGCCAGGGTGAAGGGCTTGTTATGGAGGGGCCTCGCACAGAGGGGCAGGAGAAGATGGGTGAGGAGGGGGGAAAAGGAGGTGCACTGCGGTGGGAGGCGGTGAGGGCGCGAGTGAGGGAGGTGAGGGAGCTGCGGTTGCGCATAGAGCATCGTGTGCGAGCACGGCTGGAGCAGTGGGCTGAGGGCATGCGGCTGGCACGGATTGGCGCCATGTGGGGCGAGTGGAAGCACATGCAGCGGATGAGGGGCGAGGGAGGGGAGGGGCGTGAGGGGATGGAAGGGAGAGAGGAGCAAGAGGGAAGGGAAGGGAGGGACGGGAGGGGGTGGAGGGATGAGGGAAAAGAAGCGGTGCAAGAGGAAAGGCAGGGGGCGTTGTGGATGGTGAAAGGAGTGCGGAGAGTGATTGGTGCGGTCAGGGGATTGTGGTGGAGGAAGGGGAGGGATGCAGGCCTGAAGGGGAGAAGGGTGGGGACGCAGGAGGCAATGGAGAGCGGGCAGAGAAGGTTCCTGGCAATGCACCTGCGATTCGACCTGGTGAGCCACCTGCGATTCGACCTGGTGAGCCACCTGCGATTCGACCTGGTGAGCCACCTGCGATTCGACCTGGTGAGCCACCTGCAACGCATACCAAATTCGCTCTTCTCGAGCCCACAGCCTTCTCTTGAGCCCAGAGTGGGCAGAGGAGGAGGAGGTTTCTGGCGATGCACCTGCGATTCGACCTGGTGAGTCACCTGCAACACATACCGAATTGCTATTTTTTTTTCAAGCTCACAACCTCATTCCCCTCTCTACATGACTTTCCCCTCCTTCTCTCCCCCCTCACAGGACATGGTGGCCCACTCGCGGTGCGACTATGGAGAGGCGAGGGAGAGGTGGGCACAGAGCAACGCATGAACCATGCTGCTCCCTCATCCCTTACCACGACCCTCCCGTTCCCCTTCCTTCCCCTCTCTTCCCCCCTCACAGGACATGGTGGCACACTCGAGGTGCGACTATGGGGAGGCGAGGGAGGAGCGGGAGCAGATGAGGCGGTACTGGAAAAGGGCGTGGGGGGAGCTGGAGGGTAAAGTGCAGCACACCCCGCAGCAGCTGAGGGCGGCTGGCAAGTGTCCCCTCACGCCAGAGGAGGCGGGGCTGGTGCTGGCGGCTCTGGGATTCTCCAGACACACACAGCTCTACGTGGCTTCGTACCAGGTGCGGTGTGGTGTGGTGGAGTGCGGTGTGGTGCGGTGGGGTAAGGTAAGATGGGGTGAGGCGTGGTGTCATGAGGTGTCGTGTCGTGTGGTGTGGCGCGATATGGTGCAATGTCGTGGTGTGGTATGGTGCGGTGGGGTGGGGTGTGGTGGGATGTGTGTGGTGCGGTGTGGTGTGTTGTGGTGTGTTGTGGTGTGCTGCGGTGTGGTGTGGTGTGATCTGCTGTGGTGTGGTCTGGTGTGGTGCGGTGTGTGTTGAGTTGGGCGAGTGATGGAGTGCGGTTGCAACAATCGCCCACATCTCCCACTCCCTTTTGAACCCCCACTCCCTTTTGAACCCCCACTCACCTTCTAATTCCACTCCCCTTCTAAATCCACTCCCCTTCTAATTCCACTCCCCTTCTAAGTCCACTCCCCTTCTAATTTCACTCCCCTTCTAATTCCACTCCTCTTCTGATTCCACTCCCCTTCTCATTCCACTCCCCTTCTAATTCCACTCCCCTTCTAAGTCCACTCCCCTTCTAATTCCACTCCCCTTTTAATTCCACTCCCCTTCTAAGTCCACTCCCCTTCTAATTCCACTCCCCTTCTAATTCCACTCCCCTTCTAATTCCACTCCTCTTCTAATTCCACTCCCCTTCTAATTCCACTCCCCTTCTAATTCCACTCCCCTTCTAATTCCACCCCCCTTCTAATTCCACTCCCCTTCTAATTCCACTCCCCTTCTAATTCCACCCCCCTTCTAATTCCACTCCCCTTCTAATTCCACTCCCCTTCTAATTCCACCCCCCTTCTAATTCCACTCCCCTTCTAATTCCACTCCCCTTCTAATTCCACTCCCCTTCTAATTCCACCCCCCTTCTAATTCCACCCCCCTTCTAATTCCACTCCCCTTCTAATTCCACTCCCCTTCTAATTCCACTCCCCTTCTAATTCCACCCCACGCAGGTGTATGGCGGCCCCACTCGCATGGCTGCACTGCTCCGCCTCTTCCCCAATCTCGAGGATAAGACGACGCTTGCCACCCCGGAGGAGCTGCGGCCGTTCCGTGGGCGGGCGTCCATGTTGGCAGCACTGGACTTCTACGTCAGCACACACAGTGACGTGTTTGTGTCCACGTCAGCAGGCAACATGCATAATGTCATGGTGAGTGCATGGTGTTGTGAGTGCATGGTGCTGTGAGTGCATGAAACAGTGAGGACATGGTGGCATGATATGATGCGAGTGCATTGCACTTTGGTACATGTATGGCATTGTGGTGGGCGCATCAGGTCGTTTGGTGCTTCAAACTCTTAAATACAGTCATGGCATCAGCCCAAACACTGACACACATATCAGCAGATCAAGTTATCTCCATGCCGCAGGCTCCATGGTTATGCTCCTCCAAGGCACCCCTTCTTTCATATTCCCCCCACCCATCAGGCTGGGTACCGAGCCTATTATGGAGGCAGCAAGACCATCAAGCTCAACACCCCTCTCCTAGCCTCGCTCCTTCAAACACCGAACCTAACTTGGCCGGACTTCACCCGAGCCGTGCGCACGGGCCATGAGGGCAGGCTTGGACAGATCAAGGCTCGACGAGTGGACCAATCACTGTACACATATCCTGCCCCTGAGTGCTTGTGTAGAGAGGATGGTGAAACAAGGAGAGGGGTAGAGGCGAGGAGAGGAGGGCTATGGCGGTGGTGGTGGTATGGGGAGCAAAATCAGAAGCTGGTGAAAGTGCAGGTGCAAGAGCCTCACCCTCCATGGTGATAAGCCTGAAAATGGGATGTTTGTTGCTTCGTAAGTGTATACGCTTGCTGCCTTTCTGAGCAGCAATCAACTTGTTGCTTACTACGGTACAACAAGCCTATGCTACATATTCATTCTCTTATTATAATCCCTCGTATGTTACCCCTTCTAAATAAATCACCCAAGGTTGGGGCAGGTGCTTACATTGTGATTACCTTCCTCTAGTGCGAAATAAACAGAAGATCCTTCTAGAGGCTATATTTTAAACTTTACCGTCATACCCCGGATAGAAGCGCCCCTGGGGTTGTAATAAAACACTGTTTTTTAGGGGGTGCGCTTATAATTGAGGAAATTTATAAGCGCCGGCGTTTATATAACGGCAAAATGAAATGAAGTTTGTTTTTAACACCAAATTGTAGATGTCGTTCTTCCAAGTGTAATCGAGTCGAAAATATATTGGGTCGCGAATATGACTCTCGAGCAACTTGGCAGGGATTGATTCCCTGCCAACACATGCTGACTAGGCGACAGCGTGTGCTGACTAGACGCGCAGCAAGTGTGATGTGAGTGGGAAAGTGGAACTGTATTTCGCTTCCCTGGTAAGGGGAATTTCGTTTCTGTATTTCGACTGATTTTCATATAATATTCGACATGCGCTTATAATAAATCACAATTTTTTAGGGGGTGCGCTTATAATTGAGGACCGGATATAAGCGCCCTCATCCCTTTATAAGCGCCGGCGCTTATCTGAGGCCTGCGCTTCTATCCGGGGGCTTACGGTATTGCAGTGCGGTACGGTACTGTTGTGTAGTTTGTGTTGTCGACTTTGCCGAGTCCAATCAGCAACATGAACTACTTGACGGTCGAGGGAGACATTTTGTAAGGAAATATGCTGCCATATTATTGGTGGGGTAATGATTAAGTTTTAGCTTGCACTCATCAGTCCTATCCAGGGCTAACTTAAGTAAAATGACCTGTCTCCAGGCCCCTAGATTCGTTTTGAGGCACGCTGATCGATCAGCGTCCACCCCTGTTTGAGCTCAGTGAGTTAGTGTGGCATCAATTTTTAAGGCTGAAAATTCAGACAATCCATTTTATTTAGGCTGAACTTTCAGCGTGAGGTTCAAATCTTAAGCTGATCATGCATTTTCATAAAAATATGAGAATTAAACATATCACACGTCAGTTTGTAGGGAAGGTGGGGTGGGGTGGATGCTTGTGGTGTCGTGTGCTGCAGGGTCCTCGCTACGTGAATCAGACATTTTTGTCTGACTCAACGGAAGCGGATTTCATCTCTCATAGGTTGCTTGGATTGTCGGTTGAGGAAAGTAGAACGAGAATGAAAATGACTATGGAATGAAAGTGATACAAATATGCAACCCTAGAAATGTGTACCCCATATGGGCTACCCCACTAAAGCCTAGACAACATTATAATTTGACATCGGTTACATAGGCAAAGTGGGGGAGAACAAGGGGTCACAAGACCAGTCAAGCAAAGCAAGGCAAAGCTCATGGTGGATCACAAAGTCACCACATATTCCGAGCACAAGTTCAAGGGCACAAGGCCAGTTCACATGCAGGAGCACATATATTTATATATATATAAGAGGCTAAGCAAGCAAGAGCAGGAGTCTATATATGTGACAGTACAAGCAAGGTCAAGAAGTGAGCAAGTGAGGCAAGACAGGCACAAGACCAAGCTGAGTACAGAAGCATTGATGATCACAAGGCGCAAGTGCCTTTGTGAAAACATAAGCAGTGTTGGCCTCAGAGGCCACGTACGCAAGCCGCAACTGACCACGCTGCTAAAGCTCACGAGCAAGGAAGTAGCGAAGAGCAATGTGCTTTGTTCTGTGCTCCAGTCTCTGCTCTCGACACAAGGCCAGCATGGCCTTGTTGTCTACGTACAGGAGTGGAGAAGAACGAGGCGGCTCTCCAAGGTCGGTCAGCAGGTAGGTGAGCCAGCGAAGCTCCTGTTCAGCCTCACAACTGGAGCCGAGAACAGAAGACGAGCGAGTAGCCCGCCACGAAACAGAGCCGGAACCGAGGCTGAAGGTGTAACCCTGTGACGACCGCTGCGTAGCCTGGTCGTCAGCCCAAGAAGCGTCCGCATGCCCAGTGAGGACCACTGGACTCCGCCCTCCAAGCACTAGCCCCATGCCCGACGTACTGCACAAGTAGCGCAACACCCTCTTCGCTGCAGCCATGTGCTCTAGTCTGTGTCTTCCAGGAGCAACATAGCGTGCAAGAATGCTAAGAGGGTATGCAAGGTCAGGTCATGTGCAGGTCATCAGGTACATGAGGCAGCCAACAAGCTCTGGATACGGGCCACTCGACTCTACGGACTCATCCGAAGGCAGAGCTGAGAGTGAGTGGCGAGTAGGCAGAGGAGTGGCCTGAGGCGAGGAGTACGTGAAACCGAAGCGCTGAAGGACCTGCTGCACCATGTGTGATTGAGTCAGGGTAATGGTGCGGCGTGCTCTGTCCCGGGTGATCTGCAAGCCAAGGTAGCTGCGCAGTTCACCCAGGTCAGTGCACGTGTGTCTCTTCTGCAGCTCGGACTTCATGTAGGCAAGTCCAGCAGTCTCAGCTGTGGCAAAGACCAAGTCATCGACGTACACGAGGATGTAGAACGGCGGCAGAGAGGTGTCGGTGCGCAGAAACAGCGACGGGTCGGCAGTAGAAGGAGCAAACCCAAGGGCCGCAAGTGTAGTCCTCAGTGTGTCGTGCCACTCACGTGGCGCCTGGCGGAGACCGTAGACTGGACGCCGGAGACTCCACTGGGTACCAGGAGGGAAAGACCCAGTGAAGCCAGGTGGGCGGCGCAGCCAGATCTCCTCGTGCAGGCAGCCCTGCAAGAAAGCAGTGCTGAAGTCGAGAGAGTGCAGCTCGTAGTCACGGTGAGCAGCAACGTGCAGCAGTACCCGAAGAGTGGTCATCTTCGGGGTGGGAGAGAATCTCTGAAAGTAGTCAACTCCCTGCCGCTGACTGAAGCCACGAGCCACGTAACGCGCCTTGAAGACAGGCGGAGAACCCGGCGGCCGCTTCACCCTGAAGATCCACATGCCACTGATGATGTTCGCCCCAGGAGGGGGGACATCGTCAACGTAGGTGCCTGTGGACTTCCAGGAAGTCATCTCTGCATCCATAGCTGCCTGCCACTGAGAGGAGTAGGGACCCTCTATTGCCTCCGCGTAAGAGCGCGGAGTCGGGATGTCAAGTGCATCCGGGTCTCCCTCAGGGGTAAGGAGTACGGACACGAGATGAGGTGAAGCAGCTGCCAGACACTGGAACTCCTCCTGCCTGTCCTCAAGGACGTCCGTGCCAAGGGCACACTCACCCCCGACGGACGGAGGACAGACAGACTCAGACTCAGCGACAAGACTAGCAGTGTAGTCTAGGCGACAGCGAGCAGCAAAGTCGACGAGCTCAGCAACTAGGGCAGACGCAACAGTGGACTCGAAAGAAGGGTCAGTGACGACAGTAGCAAGGAGACGCGTGACAGTAGGACGCAGCACGAAGAGAGTCCGACTCCGGGTCGGCAAGAGCAGGAAGAGAAGACTCAGGAGGAGAAGGCAAAGGGGCACGCAGAGGAGCAGTAGATGGATGCAGAGACATCCTGTGTGTGCCAGGGACAAGAGGAGGACGCTGACGCGAACCACGACCACTAGCGCGAGCAGGACGGACAGGCGACGTAAAGCGAGACGCAGGCTCACGACGCTCAGTAAGACCTCCAGTAGGACCAGCGTAGGTAGAAGGAGCAGGCAAAGGGGAGGTAGGCTGTAGCTGTGACTGTGACGGGACAGGCTGTGGACCCTCTAAGGGAGGAGGAGGACCAGTAGAAGGTGGAAGACCAAGAACCTGCTGCAGGAGTGGAACAAAGTACGGTTGAGGCCGCGTGGCGACGCCAGAAACAGCAGGGACAGCACCAGTAGCACCAGCAGGAGCACCCGCTCCAGCAGCACCTCCAGCAGCTCCAGAACCTCCAGTAGCACCTGGAGCACCTCCAGCAGGACCGCCAGAGGTAGTCTCAGCGCCAACACCCTCAGCAGCACCAGCTCCAGTCGAACCTGCAGGCCCAGCAGCTCCAGTACTCCCAGTACGAGCACCTCCGGGACCCGCGACAGCAGCACCCTCAGCAGCCGAAGAACCTTTAGCACTTGCAGCACGGCTCCAGCGCCGGGCAAACCACTCGCGCAGCTCCTCTAGAGAGAGTGGCTCCCGGCGAGACGAAGCACCCGGAGAACCTCCAGGCGGAGCACCCCCAGGCTCAGCTCCCCCAGGCCCAGCACCCCCAGGCGTAGCACCCCCAGGCCCAGCACCCCCAGGCTCAGCACCCCCAGGCTCAGTGTCAAATTATAACATTCTGTAGGCTATAGTGAGGTAGCCCATATGGGGTACACATTTCTAGGGTTGGATACTTGTATCACTTTCATTCCATAGTTCTTTCATTCTCGTTCTACTTTTCTCATGGTATCGAGCAGGTTCCCCCGTGGGAACTGTGCCTAGGGCCCACCGTTTTCGATTTTTTTTTCCTGCCCGAAGCGCGCTCGCCATGAGTCGCGCTCCGGGCCCTCTCTCGCTTGGTCGAGCCGCTCTAGAGGCCCCGCCGCCCTTTGTCGCGGCCCCGCCCTTCGTCACGGCCCCGCCCTTCGTCGCGGCCCCGCCCTTCGTCGCGGCCCCGCCCTTAGTCGCGGCCCCGCCACCCCTCGTCGCGGCCCCGCAGCCTCTCTCGACGCGGCCCTGCTGCCCTTCGTCGCAGCCCCGCCATCTCTCGTCGCGGCCCTGCCGCCCTTCGTCGCGGCCCCGCCACCCCTCGTCGCGGCCCCGCCGCCTCTGTCGTCGCGGCCCCGCCGCCTCTGTCGTCGCGGCCCTGCCGCCCTTCGTCTCGGCCCCTGCCGCCCTTCGTCGCGGCCCCGCCACCCGTCTTTGCGGCCCCGCCGCCTCTCTCGACGCGGCCTCTCCGACCTTCTTAGCGGCCCTGCCGCCCTTTGTCGCGGCCCCTGCCGCCCTTCATCG